CAAGGATAAGCGCGGGGATGAGTTACCGGAGGAGCTGGCCTTTCGGGAAGGCCGGTTGGAGAAGATACGGGAGGCCATGGCGGCGTTGGAAGCCGAGGCCCAGGCGGCGGCTGAGGCGGAAGGTAAGGAGCATCCCGGGGTGCCCGAGGACAAGGCTCAACGCAACTTCACCGATGCCGAGTCCCGCATCATGCCAGCTCCGGGCGGACGGGACTTCCTGCAAGCGTACAACTGTCAGGCGGTGGTTGACCACGCCCACCAGGTGATCGTGGCGGCTCGGGCCACCAACCAGTCCTCAGACAAGCAGCAGGCTGCGGCGATGATGCAGGAGACCATCGACAACGTCGGTGCAGTCCCCCGGGAAGTATCCGCCGATGCTGGCTATTACTCGGCAAAGGCAGTCGACGACCTCCAGGCCCTGGGCGTGGACCCGTTCGTCGCGCCGGAGCAGACCCGCCACGGCAGAGTGGTTCCGCCGGCGCCCCGAGGTCGCATACCCAGTCATCTGTCCCCCAGGGACCGGATGCGGCGGAAGTTGCAGACCAAACGGGGTCGTAAGCGCTACGCTCTGCGGATGGAAACGGTGGAGCCGGTCTTCGGCCAGATCAAGGCGGGCCGGGGCTTCCGGCAGTTCCTGCTGCGGGGACTGGAGAAGGTCAACGGCGAGTGGTCGCTGATCTGCACCGGCCACAACCTGCTCAAGCTGTTCCGCTGCGGCCGACTGGCCCCCGGATGAGCATGGGCCACCCGGCTAACCGAGCGTGCAGGACATCCACCCCACCGGTTGGGAACGACGTCCCATGCCCAGAGCCTCCCAGAGTGAGCATCGTCAACCGGCAGGAATAATTGACGCCGATCGATCGCGGCTTGCCCGGGGAGACTAGTTAGCCAATACTCGGACTCGCTCCTACGGCCTGTTCACACTAACAGTGCTGAAATGTTATCATCGCCGCATGGAGATTACAGCAGCTCAGTACGAACGCATTGCACCGGTCCTGCCCGTTCAGCGGGGGAACGTCAAACTGTCGAACTTGCAAGTGCTCAACGCGATTCTGTATGTCGCTGAGCAGGGCTGCAAGTGGCGGGGGTTGCCGGCCCGATTCGGCAACTGGCATACCGTCTACACACGGATGAACCGCTGGTCGAAGAATGGGGTGCTCGACCGGGTGTTTGAACACCTCCAGCGGGAACAGATCGTGCGCATCAAACTCGAAGCGGTAGCGATGGACAGCACCATCGTCAAGGTCCACCCCGATGGCACGGGCGCGTTAACAAAAACGGACCTCAGTCTATCGGCAAGTCCCGGGGCAGCTGGACCACCAAGATTCATATGGTTGCCGCGGATGCTCGAACCGCCATAACGTTCTCGCTTCCCCTGGACAGGCCCACGACGCGCCGGAAGGGCGTAAGCTGCTGACCCGTCTTGGCCCGCAACGCCCGGGCCTGTCCAGGTTGATGGACCGGGCATATGAGGGCAATGAGACCCGCCAACTCGCCTTGGCCTTGGGGTTCATGCCGGTGGTGCCACCCCTGAGCACCCGTGTACACCCATGGGCGTATGATCGGAAGATGTACCAGAGGCGGAATGAGATCGAGCGGTTATTCCGTCGGTTGAAGGGATTTCGCCGCGTCTTCTCCCGTTTTGAGAAGCTCGACGTGCTCTTCCTCGGGTTCATCTCATTCGCACTCATTCTCGATGCACTGCGTTAGTGTGAACAGGCCCTAGTCCGATGCTGGTTATGGACGGCACAACGGCACTCCGAAGTGCGTCGGGCAGCACTCGCCTCCCCTACGCCCGTGCCTCCACTGTTGCGACTCGCGCTCGTTCGGCGCCGACAGCCTCCATCCCATCAGCATGATGGCCAGCGCACGTGGCACCGCCGCCGCACCGGGCAAGAACGTTGCCGCCAAACGCATTCTCAACGAGAGCCTGGCCCAAGCCGCCGTAGGCCACACCGACAAGCTGCTACGCGAGGAAGCCGCCAAACAGGGCATACCCACCGTCTCCGTGCCAGCGCCGGGCACGTCCCAGACCTGCCCACGCTGCGGAATACCGGCACCGAGGCAACCGGGAGAACCAAGCGGTATTCCAGTGTCGGAACTGCGACCAATACGCCCACGCCGACTGGACCGCCGCAGTCATCATTCGGAACCGGGCCTAAGTCCGGCACTGCGAATGGCGCTCCGGTCATACCCCCAATGCACTGACCACACCCACCGGGTGGCGAGAGCAGCCATCCTGCTCCGGCCAGGTCTCACTTGACCTGGAGCTAAGCGTGTTCAAGAAAGCTGGCCGGAAACCCCGGTTGATTTGGCCAGCGGTCATACTCCGGGCAATGAAGGCTGGCGGAGCAGGGCATTGCTGGGAAAGCGTTCGGACCAGAGGGGCCTCTGGGAAGCGGACCGGTTGTATCTGGACTACGTGGGCAAGGACACTTTCTACGGCTTGCTGGCCTCACTGCGGGGCCAGCTTTTCAGCGATGACGATTTTGCCGAGATCTACTGTCCGGACAATGAACGTGGCAGCGTGCCGCCCAGCCTGCTGGCCACGGCTCTGCTGCTGCAGACCTACGACAAGGTGAGCGACGCTGAGGCCAAGGCCAGAGCCGACTTCGACATCCGTTGGAAGGTGGCGTTGGGGATTGAGATTGAGGATAGACCCTTTGCCAAGAGTACCCTTTGCCAAGAGTACGCTGCAGATGTTCGGGGCGCAGTTGATATTGCACGCCAAGGTTCGAGAGGTATTCGAGAGCAGCCCGCGCTTGGCTCGGCAGTCGGGCTACCTGAAAAAGCGTGGGATGCGGGTGGCGCTGGACACGACCTGCATCCTGGGACGGGGCGCGGTGAAGGACACCTATAATCTGCTGGCGGACGGCATCGTCAAACTGTTGCGGGCCCTGGCGGCCGTGGCGAACATCACCGTCGGGGAATGGGCCGAAGCCCAGGGGTACGAGAGGTACCTGGGTTCCAGCATTAAGGGCGAGGCGGCGATCGACTGGTCGGACCGCAAAGCGCGGGCGGCATTGTTGGCTGAGATAGTGGCTGACGCGGACCGGCTGCTGGAATTGGCGCGACAGGCGTGGGTTCTCCACCTCTTCCAGGGGAGTGGTGGAATAGGCTTGGAAAATGCCTGAAGTGGAGAGGCGGTTGGGCTTAAGGGTGGAGTCTCCGAACATCTCGGTGAAGAGGCGGTGTGCGGCGTAGCCGTTGTCGAAGTGGTTATCGCGGAACATGCCGCGTTCCTTGCCCCAGCGGCGGGAGAGCTTGAGCTCCATGGCGCCTCAGATCCACAATAGTTGCTGCTTGATTGGGGAGGTGATGTCCTGCTGGGACGATTCCATGTTTGCTTCTGGGATTGTCTGCACAGTGTTTGGTCACCTGATAGTTGGTTGTCCTGGTGTCGGTTATCGGTTGTTCGGGGACCGGTTTTCGTTTACGAACTGGTCCAGGGCGCTGATGGGTTCCAGGATCCTCTTGCCGATTCGGGGGGCCTGGATGTCTCCCCGTTTGACCATTTTCGAAGACCATCCAGTCGTTGATTCCCGGTGATGCGGCGGTCTCCTTGATGGTGAGGGTGCGCCGTTCCACTGGTTGGGGATTGGAGTTATCGGGCGGCGCTTCCTGCGGGTTGCGCCACGGGTTTCTGAGCATGGTTTCTCCTTTTTTGGTCAGTTTGCCCTGGTGGCGTCGGGGCAAGTTCGGCGGCCTGTGTACCTCTATATGGTGATACGAATCGCCCGGGTCTGCATGGGGCGGAATGTCGGAGGATTATCGATGCGCGGCAGCGTGCGTCGCCGCAACCGTGGCTCCTGGGAGCTGACGGTGGACCTGGGTCGCCACGTGGAGCGCCGTTGGGTGCATCGGTTCCGCACGGCGCGGAGTACCAAGGCGGAAGCGCGGCGAGTGTTGAACGGTATGCTCCGTGCGGCTGAGATAGGTGGGAAGGAATAGTCGCCCCGTCTGCGATCGGGAGATTTCATGGAGCGTTGGCTGAAGGAGCGGGTGTACGCCCGGTTGCGCTCTCAGACCTGCATGTTGTACGCCCGCGAGGTGCGGATGCGGCTAAGGCCCGAATTGGGTAGAATTCCCCTGCATCGTCTCACGACTCGGGATGTGTCGGAGATGGAATACCGTTAATCGAAGCGTGGTGCCGGTGCCAGAGTTTTGCAGACCTGCCGTCGGGTTCAGTCGATTGTGTTGAACCACGCCCTGAAACTGGAACCAATCGGACGTAATCCGTTGGTGGGTCTGGACTCGGTGGGGGATCGGCGGAAGGAGCCGATAATGCCCGAAGTGGATTCGGTATCCAGGGCGCTGGCGTACCTGCGCGAGCACGATCCCGATTTCCACGCGCTATGCCATGTCTTGGCGTACACGGGGATGCGCATGGGTGAGGTGTTGGCTTTGCGCTGGGGCAACGTTTCTTTGGATGGTGCCTTTCTCCAGGTGCTGCAGAGTCTGGGCAGGGCCCGGGGCGGTGGTGCTGAGGTGGCACCCACAAGTCGCGGGCTGGTCGCCGGCGGATAGAACTTGATGCGGACACGGTGGATGCTGCGGGCTCACCCAGAGCGCCAGTGGGAGCGTCGTCACCGGGCGGGCGAGTTTTGGCAGGACCTGGATTTGGTGTTCACCAACGATGTGGGCTGGTATTGTCCACGGCGGCGATCCGCAAAAAGCCGGCGCGGCGGGGTGAGTTGTTGGGCGTGTCGGGTTTGACTGCCAGGGTGTTGAGGCATTTTCACGCGTCGGTGGCCTTGCAGAACGGGCACAACATCGTGGCGATGTCGAAGTGCTTGGGTCATGCCCGGGTATCGGTCATGTCGGACATCTACGCGCACGTGCTGCCGGCCTGGCAGCGGGATGTAGCTGAGGGGTTGGCCGCGGTGATGTGGGAATAGAAGCCCAGATTTGCCGACGAATTGCCGACAAACTGTACCGAAGGGTACCGAAAATGGCCGCATTTCACCGAATGCAAGGTCTCATTTAGGTTGCCAAGTGGTATGATTCGTTATTGCACTTTCAGGAGGAAACAATTGCTTAGGTTCGACGCCACGAAACTCGTACTCAGCCACGCCGGAGACAGCCCGGTGGTTGGCAATCTGGGGCCCACCAGCGACGAGCTGTATCACGCGGGCCACCGTGACCGGAATTTCTATACCTACGGCAACATGGGTTTGTGCTCCTCAATCGCATTGGGCATGGCCCTCTCCACCGATGACAAGATCATTTCGCTGGACGGCGATGGGTCCCTGTTGATGAACCTGGGGACGATCGCAACCATTGGCCGGGAGAAGCCGGAAAACCTGGTGGTATTGGTTTGGGACAACGAAGCGTGGGGACAAACGGGCGGACAGCCCAGCCACACGTCCACAAACGCCGATCTGGAAGAGATCGCCAATTCCTGTGGCATCACGAAAACCGCGACGGTGGGCGACCTCGAAACCCTTGAGGACGTTTTCTCGCGGGCGATGGCGGAGCCCGGCCCCTGGTTCATCGTGGCCAAGATAGAAGAGCCGACGAATACATGCCCGTGGCGCCGGTGGAGCCGGAATTTACGCTGTACCGGTTTAGGAATACGTACGTGAGGTAAACGAGCGGAAACCAATCTGCCAGCGTCTCCGTTAGGGAAAATAAGGCGCCCTTTCCAATGAGAAAAGGGCGCCCTTCGATGTTAGCGCATCGGCAAAGCGCACAGCCGCATGTTCAACCCAAATCGGGACATGCCGCAGTCCAATCGTGTGCGGGGAAGTATTCGGTCAGAAACTCAAACAGCTGGGGATCGTATTCCCGAAGTTCTTCTCGGGTATTAACGTGATTGTGTACGGGTCAGGGGGGATCGAGATTGGCGTTGAAATATGACTGGACGCCTTCCGCCCAGTATTCATGTATGTTGGTGGCGGCGAAGGTATCACCCACAAATCAGCCGCCAGGGCGGCGTCATACGTAGCTGTGAGCTTGGCGAGGAAATCAGGCTGGATCGGCACGATACCCAGGTTCATTATGGAGTGGGCAAACTCGTGCACCGTAACGTTGTCACCGTCATACCCCCTCCAGCGGTCAGTGCGGTAACAGAGAATGTTCTCTTCCGATGCACTAGTTAGGGGAATGAACGCGGTGGCTCCTAATCCGCGGGCCCGCTGGTTCCAGTCGGTGCCGGGGAACTGCGTATACAGATCCTGATACTCGGGCATGTCGGTGAGCACTTGAGATTCTGCAAGCACGCCAAACAACGTGCCTTGTCGCACCATTTCAGAGTGGATATCAGGGCGCGCTGACAGCATGTTCATGATGGTGTTCCATACGACCTGAAGGGCCAAATCAGGCACGTCTTCGGACGACAGCACTGGTATTCCCCCTGCGGGGCAATACTTGGTATAAAACGGGTCAACCGATAAATCGTTCGGCGGATTCGTTACCACGCAACCATCGTATCCGGTGATAGGTTCCGTCAAGTTTGACTCAAGTGTTGGGATTGCTGTTGGCTCCGGTACCGGCGTGGCTGTCGGTTCTGGCGTGGCTTGGCGCGTCCGGTTCCGCGTGCTGTGTTACCTGCGACGAATGCGTTTTTCTGTCGTCCCTTTCTTTTTCTTTCTTTCGATCGCCTGATGGGCTGTGAGAGCACGGCGTTGCATGGCGGTCTGGCGTGGCTGTCGGTTCTGGCGTGGGCGTGGCCGTCGGTTCCGGCGTGGCTGTCGGTTCTGGCGCGGGCGTGTTCGTGGGGAGCAAGGTTGCGGTGGGCGCCGCAGTGGGCGTGGCTGTAGGAGGGATGTAAGTTGCGCTCGGTGTCTGGGATGCTGTCGCTTTGGCCTGCGGCTGGTCCGTCGGTACCGCTGACGCCGGCGTCAGCGTAGGTTCCGGCGATTGGCAGGCGCCGGCGACCAGGCCCATCACAACTAATGCAACCGCAAAGCGTTGCAGCCCGTATATGCTCAGTTTCATGATGCTCCTCACGATGTAACATTATAGGCGAACTATGCGCGCCGTATCGTATCACCACCGCGAAAGTCGTCCCGACCACCCCGATCAGATCCGCGCCGATTTGCCACCTACCGGTGGTTGGTCTATGATTGATTCAGGCAGAGTACACCGCCGATTTCCGCTCCTGGCTCTGAGGAGACTCGCACCATGACCCAGGCCAACGTCCCGAATGTAGGCATTGAGAACGCGCTTGCATCCAACCGCATTCCGTCCGCCTTGCCGACCGGCCTGACTGCGACCGATCTGGTTGAAGGCTGCCGACAAATGATCCTGGTGCGTACTATGGACGAACGCATCTGGATGATGAATCGCCAGGGCAAAGTTCCTATTGCCGCTTCTGCGCAAGGTCATGAGGCTGTGCAGTTGGGTTCGCTGCTGGCGGCGCAAAAGGACGGCGACTACTTCCTTTTCCCTTATTACCGCGACCTGGCGATCAAGATGGCGGTTGGGCTAACACCCCGTCAGGTGATGCTGTCTTTCATGGGCAAGGAAGGCGATCCATATTCGGGAGCGCGCCAATTTCCGTTGCAAGGCGCCGACCTTCCCAGGCGCGTTATCCAGATCTCCAACGTCGTCGCGGCCGGATTGACCCAGAGCGTGGGTTACGCTTTGGGGTGCAAGATGCTCGGGGATGACACGGTTACCATTTGCTACTTCGGCGACGGCGCGACCAGCCAGGGCGAAACTCATGAGGCCATGAACTTCGCGGCCATCCATCAGTTGCCTATCGTGTTCATCTGCGAGAACAACAAATACGCCATCTCAACACCTCAAAACTCCCAAATGGTAATCGGAGATGTGGCAGCCCGCGCGGAAGGGTACGGCTTCCCCGGTTTTGTTGTCGACGGACTCGACTTCTTGGCCTGTTACGAAGCTACCCGGGAGGCCATCGTATATGCGCGCCGCACCGGCCCGACTCTGGTTGAGATGAAGTGCGAACGATTCATGCCGCATACCACTGATGACGACGACCGGCGCTATCGCGACCGCGACGCCCTTGATGCTGCGCGCCAGCGGGATCCGGTCGTAACTTTCCCGGCCGACCTGGTGATTCGAGGCATCGTTTCTCAGGAGCAGGTTGATGGATTCAGGGCCGAGGCTGTTCAGCAGGTCAACGACGCCACCGATTTTGCGGACGCCGCACTCCCCCCCGACGCATCCACTATCTATGACAATCTGTACGTGTAAGGACGCACGGGCGGGAACGATATGGCAGAGATGACGGTAATCGAGGCGGTGCGTTCGGCACTGCGTGAGGAGATGGAGAGGGACGAGCGGGTGTTCGTCATGGGCGAAGATGTGGGTCAACGCGGCGGCGTGTTCCTGGCCACCCAAGGGTTTATCGAAGATTTTGGCCCGCAGAGGGTTTTGGATACGCCATTGGCCGAGGCTTCCATCATGGGGATAGCGCTCGGGGCGGCGTTCCGGGGGATGCGTCCTGTTCCTGAAGTGCAATTCTCAGATTTTGTGTGGCCCAGTGTCAACCAACTGATCGGCGAAGCAGCCCGCGTCTACTACGGCACCAACGGCGCTCTCAAAGTCCCGATGACCGTCCGCATACCCTACGGTGGCGGTATACGGGGAGGGTTGTACCACTCGCAGAATGTGGAAGCGCTGTTCTTCCACACGCCGGGGTTGCTGGTGGTCACACCATCCACGCCGTACGAAGCCAAAGGGCTGCTGAAATCGGCAATCCGCGACGATAACCCCGTCATATTTCTGGAGCATAAGAAAACCTACCGGCTGGTTCGGGGTGAAGTTCCTGACGGAGACTACACCATCCCCATCGGTCCGGCAGACGTAAAACGGGTGGGTAGCGACGTTACCGTGGTCTCGTATGGGCTGGCGATGCACTACTGCCTTGCCGCCGCCGAAGCCGTAGCAGCCGATGGAATCTCCGCGGAAGTGGTGGACCTCCGAACGCTGAAACCGCTGGATACGGAAACCATACTGGATTCGGTGCGGAAAACGGGCAAATTGCTGGTGGTGCACGAAGACAACATCAGCGGCGGTATTGGCGCGGAGATTGCCGCTCTCGCAGCTGATGAAGCGTTTGAGTATCTGGATGCGCCGATCGCCCGATTGTGTGGCCCTGATGTCCCGACGATGCCGTTCGCTCAGACTCTGGAAGATGCTTACATGCCCAGCCCGGAGGCCATCGCTTCCGAACTGCGCCGGTTGGCTGCTTACTGACGGAACCATCTCGCGACAGTCTGGCCGTTTTGACCGGCCAGCATCTGGATGACGCGCCGTAGAGGAACTCATAGTGGCCGAATTCATCGAACTTCCCCACGTTGGCGAGAGTGTCGTTGAAGGCACGATTGGCAAATGGCTGAAACAACCGGGCGATCGGATAGAACGCTACGATCCACTGGTCGAAGTTGTAACCGACAAGGTGACGATGGAAGTTCCCTCTCCGGTGGCTGGGCAGCTGCTGCGCATTATTGCCGCGGAAGGTGAAACCGTGCCGATGGGCGCTCCCATTGCTGAGGTGGAAACCGACGGAAGGGGTACGCCTGCCGCTCAACCAGCAAACGATGCGACAACCGCCCCCGCCCCCGCTGCGTCCGTGCCCGTCGGGGCGCCGCCGACAACACCCGCTGCCACACCAGCGTCTCCCACGCCAACTGCGTACCTTATCACCGATGCGCGACCGGTTGGACCGACCGGCGGTTCTGCAGTAGAGGCGTTGGACAAGGAAGCCGCCGCGACGGTTTCCGATGCAGCACGGCCCGGGCCGTTGTCCACGGCTATCGCGCCGCCGCAGGCCCAGGTCCCACAGCCGGTGATCGTGGCCCCCCAAACGGATGTTGACGTCGAAAGAGCCGCGAACCTCTTGTCCCCCGCCGTGCGTCGCCTGGCCAGTGAGCACAGCATTGACGTGAGCCGAATTGCCGGCACTGGCCTTGGGGGTCGCATAACCCGTAACGACGTTCTCCGGTTCCTGGAATCCGCCGCTGCTGCCGACGATGCGCCTCGCACGGAATATGCCGCGCAGACGATGGTAGCCGATGGTGACGAAGAAAGGATTGCCACCACGCCGGTGCGCCGGATGATTGCAGAAGCAATGGTGCGGTCGGTGAGTCAGATACCCCATGCCTGGAGTATGGTGGAGGTCGACATCACCGATCTGGTTGCGCTGCGGAACCGGGAGCGGGATGGGTTCCGTCAAAGAGAGGGTATCAACCTCACCTATCTGCCATTTGCACTCAAGGCAGTGGCGGCGCGTTGAAGGACAATCCCACGCTTAATGCATCCTGGGGAGGCGATCACATACTGGTAAAACGGCGCATCAACCTGGGCATTGCGGTTGCCGCGCCGACCGGCCTGGTGGTGCCGGTTATCCGTGACGCCGACCGGCTCAGCATCGCCGGTCTGGCTCACTCCATTGACGATCTGGCCGGGCGCGCTCGCAGCGGTGCATTGCGCCTGGAGGACGTTCAGGGTGGCACGTTCACCGTGAACAACACCGGAGCGCTGGGCAGCACCGTGAGCGGACCCATAATCAACCACCCTCAGGCAGGAATTCTGACGACGGAGGCAGTGCAACAACGGCCGGTTGTCATCAACAACGCCATCGGGATTCGTTGGATGATGAATATCTGCCTGTCGTTCGACCACCGCATCAACGACGGCGAGGAATCCGGCGCGTTCCTGCAATCGGTGAAACGTCGCCTGGAGGCGATGGATGACGACACGCCTATCTATTGATTCGGTGGGGTCGGAAGTTTCGGCCCAGGAAAGCTGCGGTGTAGTCTGGCTGGGAACCGTGCCCTACCGGGATGCCTGGGATCTGCAGCTGGAGATCGCAGGCCGCGTGCGGCGTGGTGCCGAACCTGAAACTCTGCTGCTGTTGGAGCACCCCCACACCTACACCCGGGGGCGGTTATCTCCCGATGCCCACCTGCTGCTGGACGATGCGGGGATTGCCAGTCTCGGAGCGGAGGTCGTGGAAACCGACCGCGGCGGATTGACCACTTATCACGGACCCGGTCAGTTGGTCGTCTATCCCATCATCAGGCTGCGCGGGCGGGGAGGCCCGCACTGGTACGTGCGCACGCTGGAACGGGTGATCATCAACAGCTTGTCCCAGGTTGGCCTCGCCAGCACAACGGCGCCGGGTTTGACCGGCGTGTGGACGGCAGACGGACAACGTAAGGTGGCTGCCATCGGCGTCAAGATTGCCGGCGGCGTGGCCTACCACGGTTTTGCGATCAATGTCAGCACCGATTTGTCGATGTATAACGCCATAATCCCCTGCGGGATCACCGATCGGGGTGTTACCAGCGTGGTTGCCGAACTACCAGATAGCACCAATATTTTGACGGTGAAAGCAGTGGTGGAGATTGTGGCCCGGCAGTTTTCCGATGTGTTTGGGTTTCGCAGTGAAAGCGCCAACGCGGCCGCGGTTCTGGAGGCAACGGAATGCAGTACGACGTCATCGTAGTTGGGGGAGGTTCGGCAGGTTGCGCCCTGGCGACCCGAATATCGGAGGACCCGGCTAAGTCGGTGCTGCTTCTGGAGGCTGGCCCCGACTACACAGAATTTGAACACTGGCCTACCGAATTGCGGGATGGAACCCGCCAGGAAGCCTCGGCCGCGGGTGCGCGGTTCAACTGGTCGTATCGGGCAACCGGGACTGCGGAACAGGACGCTCCGATGGAGATCGCCCGGGGTAGAGTGATGGGCGGCTCCGGAGCAGTTAACGGTCAGGTGTTCCTTCGTGGCCTGCCTGAGGACTACGATTCGTGGGCGCAACAGGGCAACGACCAATGGTCGTTCGCCAACGTTTTGCCATATTTCCGCAAGCTGGAATCTGATGCCGATGTTCGCGATGATTTCCACGGCAGCGAGGGGCCGATCCCGGTGGTGCGAGCGCCCCTGGAGACCTGGCACCCCTTTCAACAGGCATTTATGGCGGCGTGCGCGTCGCGGGGGTTTCCGGAAGATCGGGACATGAACCATCCGTCGTCGACCGGTTTCGGGGCGGCGCCGATGAACAATCCCGCTGGCGTAAGGATGAGTTGCGCGTTGGCATACCTGTCGGCGGCGCGTCATAGATTGAACCTGACCATTCGCTCCGACGTGCTGGCCCGGTGCGTCCAATTTGACGGGAAAGTTGCGGTAGGTGTGGAGGTGGAAAGCAACGGCGAGGTGTTCACCGTGTTGGGGCGAGAAATCGTCCTCACAGCCGGCGGTATCGCTTCTCCACAATTGTTGATGCTGTCCGGGATCGGGCCTGCTTCGCACCTGGCCGAATTGGGTATCCCGCTGGTGCAAGACCTCCCTGGCGTGGGACAAAACCTGCGTGATCATCCTATCGTTTATGTCGACGCGGCGTTAAATCCGGATCACGCAACCGACTTCTCCGGATCACGCATCCAGACGCTGCTGCGTTACACGACCGCCGGGTCACCGCTGCGCAACGACATGCAGGTGTACGTCAACAATGCAGCATCCGGCCCCAGCCCTTTGGGAAGCGGACCGGGATCTGACCAACCTTTGCTGCGGATGACGTGCATCCTGGAACAGGCGGATAGCGTCGGAGAAATGCGCCTTGCGTCGGCAGACCCGCTGGACAAGCCGGTCATCGACTATCGTTACCTTCGGAGCGAATTCGACTGCAGCCGTCTTCGTGAGGCAGTGCGCCTGTGCCAGCAGGTTCTTGAGCAACCTGCGTTTGCGGGGTTCGTGGAGGGTTTGGTTTCCCCAACTGCGGGAACTATAGCCTCGGACGCAGCGCTGGATGCGTGGCTGAAGCGCACCGTATTCACGACTTTTCACACCTCCGGGGCGTGCCGCATGGGGCCGGACCACGATCCCATGGCGGTGGTGGACCAATATTGCCGGGTTCGCGGTGTGGACAATTTGCGGGTGGTTGACCTGTCCATCTGCCCTAACGTGGTGCGAGCCAACACCAACGCCACCGCGATAATGATCGGCGAGCGGGTCGCTGAATGGTTGTAGGGTAGTCTGGCTTCCGTCCGGCAGTGACTCTCTGCCGGGTGTGATACCCGCGAACAACGGTCGGCTATAATGTTCGGCACCCGCGCCGTTTGCGCTCATGGAGTCCGTGCGATGCCCATTTCCCGATACGTCAGCAGGTCGATGCAGGAAGGCGGTTGGATACGCCGCATGTTTGAGGTCGGTATTGCCCTGAAGGCGCAGTACGGCGAGGACAGTGTGTTTGACCTGTCGCTGGGGAATCCAATCATGGAACCGCCGCCCGAATTCCACGAGGAGCTGCGCCGAATCGCTCAAAACCCGTCGCCTGGTATGCATCGCTACATGCCCAATGCGGGATATCCGGAAACCCGGCAGGCTGTAGCTGATACGTTGTCGGGCGAAACGGGACTGCCGTTTGGAATCGGCGACATCGTGATGACCTGCGGGGCCGCCGGAGCCGCCAACGTGGTGCTGCGTACGATTTTGAACCCCGCGGACGAAGTCATTATTCTTTCGCCCTTTTTTGGAGAATACGTCTACTACATCCAGAATCACAACGGGGCGCCGGTCATCGTGCCCACTGATGCCGAGTTCGGCCTGGACCTGGAGGCGATAGAAGCGGCGGTGACCGAGCGGACGCGGGCGATCATTCTGAATTCGCCGAATAATCCGTCTGGTGTGGTTTATCCGACCGAAGATATCAAAGCGCTGGCCGACCTGTTGAGACGGGCCGAAACCCGGTTCGGTTCCGAGATTTTCGTCATCAGCGACGAACCGTACCGCAAAATCATATACGACGGGCTGGTGTATCCGCAGGTGTTTCCGCAGTACGAACGCACCATAGTGGTTAATTCCCACGCCAAGGACCTGGGATTGCCCGGTGAACGGATCGGTCACATCGCGGTGCACCCGGCCTACGGCGGCAAAGCCGAACTTGTGGATGGCCTGGTGTTCTGCAACCGGGTGCTGGGATTCGTAAATGCTCCGGCATTGATGCAGCACGTAGTGCGGGCCGTGCAGGGCGCGTCGGTCGACGTTGGGGAATACCAGCGCAAACGCGATTTCCTGTACGAACGCCTCACTGGGATGGGCTACGAGATCGTCAAGCCGCAAGGCGCATTCTATCTGTTCCCCCGCTCACCATTGGATGACGACGAAGCCTTTGTTGCGGCCCTGCAGGAATATAACGTGCTGGTGGTGCCTGGCAAAGGATTCGGTACGCCGGGTCATTTCCGAATCTCCTACTGCCTGGACGACCGGGTGTTGGAAGGCTCCATGGACGGTTTCGCAAGAGCGGCGGAGCAATATCTGCGCTGATCGCGGCGCCAGGGCCGTCACTCCGCCAGTTTACCGAGTCAAATCAGAAAGGTTAGGGCCAGATAATGTTGGCTTCTTTGGCCGGCAGCCGGATCGTTGCATTGCCACGGGTGGTTACCTGCTGGCGCTGGTTCTCGCCCCAAATATCCATGTCCACCAGGTGCTCGCCATCCACCACCCGCTTTCCGGTTATCGTCCCCTTGCACCAGGTGGTGTCGCCCACGACGTTGAACCGGCGTAGCTCAACGTGCATCGCCTTCAGAAAGCCGTCGTCGCCCATCCAGTTGGTAAGCAGGTGGCCCATCCAGCAACAACGCTGGCAGCCGTAGTCGTAGGCGCCGGGCAGACCGGCGCTCTCGGCAGCCTCCTGTATGTCGTGGACACGGATGATGGCTTCCTGCGCTCCGGTATTCGGGTCGGTGAATCCCCAGGAAGGATGGCGCAGCATCTCCTGTAGCTGAATCCCGTGGCTGATGCCGCCAATACACCCCGCAACGAAGGCGGTGATGTCGCCGTGACTCATTGGCCCCTTGACTACTGGAATCAGGTCGTCGCCGATGTTCACATCCTCGAACCAGCGGGGATTGCTGCCCCGGATTTCTTCATCCAGAATCGCCTGCTGAATTGTTTCCAGTTCTTGCCGGGAATACCGGTAGGGTTCGAACGTGTATTTCTGACGCTCGCGGGCGGCGCTGCGCTCCGCGCGAATCTGCCACCCTTTGGTCTTGGCGATGGTTTCACCCCGCTGGTTGTAATAATGGGTGACGCTGGACTGGATGAGGATGCGGCCCGCAAACTCGCTTTCCTTTTCTTCCAGGCCGGTGAACTGTTCCTGCACGCTGATCTGGTCGTCCAGATAGATGGGTCGGTACCATTCCCAGTCATTGCCGGCATGGAATCCGTGGACGCCGGGCAAGCCACCGGTGCGACCGGAGCACCAATAGACGCTGTAAAGGAAACAGGGAGGAGCGATGATGGTCCCGAATTTGCTGGTCTGGGCGTAGGAACGGTCCCAATACAGGGGGTTGGTGTCCCCGATGCCCTGGCAGAAATGCCGGATGGCGCTGCGGGAGGCCTCTTCGTTGAACAATCCCACACCGTACTGCCGCGGACGGTTAAAACTGCCGATCCGGTTTCGCAGTCGTTCCAATCCCTCTTCGGTGATCATGCCAGATTCCAGCACCATCTTTTGGTTCCCTCCCGTGGGTAGTTTGGCCTCATACGCCTGCCGACGGTTTCAGCCGGCTCAGTTTACGCCATTGTGCCGGTAATTATAGACCACCGATCCGCGTGAGCCACGAGGTGCAGTGCTCAAATAGTCGCAATCTGCACCAACGCCGTGAAATGCGATGGAGATGGGCTCTACGGGTTTGATGGAGATAGAAACGAGGATGAGGATTCAATCTGCAGGGCGGGTGCCGGAACCTCGCGGCGGCGGCCAGGGGCAGGTCTGGCGAACGGCTAACGGAGGTTATAGCGGTAGAAGAGGCTATGGCGGCGCCGGGATGGTCATTACGGGAGTTCGTTGACTCAGGTACTGCTCCGTCACGAAGGGCGACCCGAAACCGTACTGTTGGGCGCAACGCTGCACGACTTGAAGAGTTTCGGCCCGCAGCGTTTGGGGCGCTGGGTCGGTGCCTCCCGAGATGATGCTGCGAATCAGGCGGCCGGCCAGATCCTGCTTGGTGTCAGGGTGCCCGCAGATACCCTCGTAGGCCACGCCGCCGCACGTCGGGCAATACCACCATTCCAGAGTTAGCACCGACTGGATTCCCAAATCAGGGAGTTCGCTGAAAATCTCGTGAGCAGCATAACGGCCGTAGTATTCACCCACGCCGGCGTGATCTCGCCCAAACATGTGATGGGTGCACCCCAGATTCTTGCGAACCAGGGCGTGGAACACAGCTTCCCTGGGTCCGGCATAGCGCATGTCCCACATCAGCGCGGTGGTGCGGTGGATGTCATCTCGGAAGAAGCCACATTCGCGCAGGTGATCGTGCGTTAGCACGATGGCTTCATCGATGTAGTCTCCCTCTTTCTTTTCGCCGATAACTGCGCTGACCAGCACGCCATCGGCCCGGGCCTCCATAAAGGCTCCCTTCATCAGGTATTCGTGACCGGAGTGGGGAACGTTGCGGGTCTGGTGAGCGACCACTCTGAGCCAGTTCGCATCGGCAAGTTCAGAGCGCAATTGGCGCGGAGTGCGCCAGAAACGGTCGAAGGGTGGATTGATGACGGGTTCGCAAACCAGGGTGATGTCGCCGGCTACGAAACGGTCGGCGTAGTTCAGCGTTCGTTGCACGCCGGGATGAGCCGGGTCTGCTGTGCCGTAAACGCGCTGCGCCAGGGAGGTCAGATCGGATGAAAAAATCTCGGAAACGTCCAGCGTGGCCAGCGGATTGCCCTGGTGAGTGAGCAGCACGGTATTCCCGACCTGCACGCCCAGTCTGCGGAGTTCGTCGTGGGGAACGTCCAGCACGATTGGTATGGGCCAGACGAGGCCGTTGCCGAGCCGCATGGCAGCGGCTACTGATTCCACATCGGCGCTGCCCATGAATCCGGTCAGGGGTGAAAAGAAGCCATAGGCGATGTTGACGCATTCAGTGGCCATCTGGTCGCGAATGGGGATTGTCGGCAGGCCGGCGACCGAAGCAGCGGTGGATGCAGTCAGGGGACGGACGCGTTCCACGAGGGCGCCGCCATGGGGGGAGAGGCTGTTGTTTGTGGTCATGACGCAGGCATTTTATCACCACGCCAAAGGTCGGGATCGCGGCCGGCCAAACAGTTATCACCAATCTTGATTGAATCCAGCGGAGACCCATACCCGTATAGGTTGCCAATAAAGGGAAATGCAACGAAACAGGAGGGAACGATGCGAAACCATAGCGCAATTCGGTTCGCCACCATGTTGGCGATGCTCGCTGCGGCCGGGATACTGGCGATAGCGTGCAGCCAGGGAGAGGGACCACTCAGCAGCGAGTCTGGAGGGGTTTCATCCCAACCGTCGCGCAGCTCGAACCGGTCGCAGGAACAATTGCCGGCACGCAACAACAACACGCCGGCGAGCAACCGGACCTCCCAGAGCGCCAACACTTCACCTGCGGCCACTTCCGCCAGTCAGCGTAGCGTTGACCGAGGCGCACCGGCGTCCGCTGCGGCGACGCCGGCTCCAGCCATGGAACGGGCGACCCTGGACTCCTTGGCCAGCGCCCCGACCGGCGTGCCGGCTCCGGCAACAATGGCGCAGGCTCGATCAGCTCAAGGCGCTGGCTCACCTCAACAGGGACCGGCGATTCCTCCCGAATCCGGCGGAACCGAGAACCCCAATGACGGCGCTTTTCCGTTGGTATATTTCGAACATTATGGGGTGAACCCGTTTATTGACGCGGACGAAGACCCGTTGTCCACCTTCGTGCTGGATGGCGACACCGCGTCTTACGAGATTTTGAAGCTGTTCCTCAATAACGGCCACATCGCGGAGCCTGATTCGGTGAGAGTCGAAGAGTACATCAACAGCCTGCCGCAGAATTACGCACCCACCGAGACCGCCCTGGGTTTGCATCTTGACGCTGGCCCAGCTCCATTTGGCGATGACGAATATGTGCTGCTGCGCGTTGGCGTGAGCAACCCGGCGCCCACTGACGATCGGGACCCGGTTTCGTTGATATTCGTCGTCGACGTGTCGGGATCGATGGAAGCCGACAACAGGCTCGGCTTGGCCAAAGAAATTATCGAAGGCATCGCTGACGAGATGATCCCCAGCGATCGGGCTGCCATAGTCACCTACGCCAATGGCGTGCGCGTGGCTCGTGAATTTACCGACGGCGATAACACCAGAGACATCGTTAGCACTGCCCGAGGACTGCGGGCGGGTGGCAGCACTTATGCCGAAGCAGGCTTGAGGCAGGCTTACGACATGGCTTCTGCAGAGATGCGCCTGGGTCGTAAGGTGCGTTTGGTGCTCCTGTCCGATGGCGTAGCAAACGTGGGACAAACCGGCCCGGAGTCAATCCTGAAAGTCGTAGACGACTACGGACAACGCAACGCTACTCTAACCACTATCGGCGTCGGCATTTCGGGGAATTACAACGACGTGCTGCTCGAGGTTTTGGCCAACCGAGGCAACGGAACCTATCACTACATGGCGGATCGCGTTGCTTCGGACCGGTTTATGCAGGAGAGCGTGGCCGGGATATTCACCGAAACTGCTCGTGATGCACGGATACAGGTGGAGTTCAACCCCGACGCCGTACGCAAGTACCGCCTGATTGGCTACGAAAACCGCGCGGTTGCCGATGAGGACTTCAGGGACGACAGCCTGGACTTTGGCGAAGTTGGCTTCGCCAGAGACGTGTCAGCGCTATACGAACTGCGCCTGTTTGATGATGTTGGGCGACTTACCACCCTGGCGGAAGCGCGACTGCGCTGGTTGGACCCCGAAACCCGCGAACCTACGGAACTATCTGCTGCGATCAGGGCGGGTGACGTCGAACGTGATATGTCCGACACTGATCCATACTTCCGGCAAACTGCCGCCGCTGCCGAATTCGCGGAGCTGCTGCGGCGTTCGTTCTGGGCACAGTGCGGCGACCTGGACGCGGTAGAAGATCTGCTGGCCACAGTGGCATCGGAGCTTGACGAAAACCGTACCTACCGCGAATTACGGGATCTGGTTTCCCGCGCCGAACGGTACTTCGAGCCGTACTGCACTAACTAATGAGGTAGCCTACGAGAGGCAGGGTTCGGGGCCGGATTGTCCTTCGGGATAATCCGGCCCTAGTGGTCGCGGTATTCCGCGGCCCGCTTTTCTCGGAAGGCAGCGACTCCCTCGACGTGGTCCTGAGATGTAAGCGTTATGGTTTCGCCGGCGGCGGCCATCTTCATGGCCGTTTCCAGGTCGAATTCCAACCCCTTATAAAGCATCAACTTGGATAGGCGGATCGCGATGGGCGGGCCGGCGGCAATTCGTTGCGCCATGGCCAGGGTGGTTGATTCCAGCTCCTCTTCATCGACGAGGCGGTTGAGAAAACCCAACCGATAAGCTTCATCTGCTTCCAGGAAATCGCCGGTGAAAAGCATTTCCGCGGCGCGCCCAAGACTCCCCAACGTTCGCGGATATAACCACGTTCCGCCGAATCCGGGGAACAGCCCGATACGTACGTAAGCCGACATGAATCGGGATCGCGCGGTACCGATGCGGATGTCGCAGGCGCAGGCCAAATCCAGGCCGGCCCCGGTGGCGACACCGTTTACTATCGCGATGACTGGCTTTTCGCAACGCTGCACGCCCAGAATCATGGCCTGGGCAGAACGGAAACTGCGTCGAACTTCGTCGGCGTTGCCGGAAGTCCAACCTGCACCGGTTCCGTCTGACGAGCCTCCCAGATCGTTGAGGTCGCCGCCGGCGCAAAACGCGCGGCCGGCTCCGGTAACGATGACTACCCGGACACCGTCGTCGGATTCGGCGCTGGTGATCGCGTCAGTAAATTCCCGCTGCATCTGGTCGTTCAGGGCATTGAGCCGGGCGGGCCGGTTCAACGTGATGCGGGCGACGTGAGTATCAGGATCCGCTGTGTATTCGACGAATTCAAATTGGGGCATCTAATCCGGTTCCTCCATATCTGCAGAAGATGTTGCGACCTGGCAGCTTCGTCCGTCAGCGACGACGGGTGGGTTATAATGTTACACCAACCGCGGCGATAATCTGAGTACGACGCGCCGCCGCTGATAATCGCCGCCACATCAATCTGCCGACAGGACATGATATGCCACCGTTCAGTTACATCGACCATCTGGAATGCACCATTTGCGGCGCCGCCTCAGACTACGATGGATTGGCAACGGTTAGCGAATGTTGCGGCAAAGTCCTGTTCGTGCGATATGACCTGGCACGTTTGGGGCGAGAAGTTTCGCGGGGAGAATACGACAGCCGGTCGTCGAACATGTGGCGCTTCAACGAGCTGTTGCCGGTTATAAACCCCGACTCGGTGATCACGCTCGGAGAAGGCGGCACGCCTCTGCTGGATGCAACTACGTTGGCCCAACAGGTAGGAATCCGGCGATTGTTGATCAAGGAAGAAGGGCTCAATCCAACTGGCACCTTCAAGGCACGGGGGATTTCGGCTGCCGTTTCCAAAGCCAGGGAGTTGGGAGCGACCGGGTTCACAATGCCGTCGGCGGGGAATGCCGCCGGGGCCGCCGCGGCTTATTGCGCTCGCGCCGGAACCCCGGTCAAGGTGTTCATGCCACAGGATGCTCCCGATTCCAACAAAAAAGAATCCATCGTCGCAGGTTCAGAACTTACCCTGGTTGACGGGCTGATCAGTGACGCCGGGCGAATCGCGGTGGGTGTTGCCGCGGAACAGGGATTGTTCGATCTGTCCACACTTAAGGAACCCTGTCGCGCCGAGGGCAAGAAGACCATGGGGTTGGAAATCGCTCAGCAACTTGGCTGGCGCATGCCCGACGCCATCGTGTACCCGACGGGCGGCGGTACGGGTATTATCGGCATGTATAAAGGATTCCAGGAATTGCTCGAATTGGGTTGGATCGAAGGTAAACCTCCCCGTTTTTACGCGGTGCAAGCCGATGGATGCCAACCAATAGTGAAAGCGTGGAACGAGGGTAAAGACACGGCCGAGCCGTGGCCCAACGCAACAACCAGGGCGGACGGCCTTCGCGTGCCGGGGCCTTTTGCCGATTACCTGATCTTGCAGGCGCTACGCGAAACGGGCGGGGGCGCTTTGGCCGTGAGCGACGACGACATGATCGACGCCATGTATCGGCTGGCTACCGCGGAAGGCATCATTGCTTGCCCGGAGGGTGCGGCGACGCTGGTGGGATTGGAGCGGCTGCTCGCCGACGGCAGCATCTCGACTGACGAGGAAGTGGTGCTGCTGAATACCGGCTCCGGTTACAAGTACCTGGACCTGCTGCGCGGCCCCGAGGATTAGGATTTTCTGCGCGACAGTTTCCTTTTGAGTCGGCGCCACATTGTCCGCACCGGACGGCGGCGGCGTATCAGGTTGTCGGCGACCAGTTGGGCCAACGTAGGGTTGGCGGCCACCAGCGGAGCGACCCACTTGCGAAGTTCGGCCATGGTGGGCGGTTGCTCATCCCAGGTTGGCACCAGAGATTCCATGGGATGCCACCGCCGACGCCCCTGCAATCGTGTCATCACGGTGCCGCCAGCTTCCTGCACTGCCAGCGCTCCGCCCAGCATATCCCACATGCGGGGGGCGCCGATGATCGTGAATTGCATCATCCCCATGGCCGTCAACACCAACTCGTAGGCGATGCTTCCGGTGACTCTGGGCTGCCCCAGCGGCTGCCCTTTTAACCCCTTGCCCCAGCCGTGTGGATCCGCCGAAAGAGCCTGGCAATCCGACCAGGCGATCACCGCGCAAACGGTCGGCCTGAAATACCGAGACCGGTTCCCCATCGCGATAGGCTCCGGCGCCCGCGCGACAATGCACTACGATGCCGCCTTCCGGATTGGGCCAGGGGATGAATACAGCGCCGACCAGCGGACGACCGCGATACAACACACCGATGGATGAGGCATAGACCGGCAGCCCGTTCATGAAGTTGGTGGTGCCATCCAGTGGGTCCAATACCCACAGGAAATCTGGCGCGCGCTTTTCTCCGTCGGCATCGGCGTTGTCTTCCTCGCCCAGGATGCCGTGGTCGGGGAACCGCTCGGCGATCTGTTCCACCAGGTAGGCCTGCGTCTCTTTGTCCGCCGTGGTTACCGGGTCCTGTTGCGCCTTGTCCTTGTATTCGATGTTCAAAGCACGACCGAAATGGCGGGATAAGAGATTGCCGGCGCCGCGCGCGAATTCGGTGGCGGCTAGCTCGATCTCCAGGGCGGCAGCATCGTTGGTGGTGGTCATAGTGGCTCCGATTGTACACCACAGTCCTCACGAAGCATCGAAGCGTTTATATCACCATTCCCTCATCGTCCGGCGAGGACGTTGTCGACCTGGCAACTGTCCGGGCAATCGAACCGGGCGGTTCTGGTCTATCGCGGTTGATAACGGGTCGGGCGATGGAGCGGTGGTTTATATCCAGGTTGCCCGGTGAGTGTAGGTCCTGCTTCGCCGGCAGGACCGGGAGGTTTGATGTGATCAGGCAGGCGCGGGCGCTACTGTTGGCGGGGTGGGAAATCGGGTAGAATACTGCACGTATCTTTGGAATGAAATACGCTGCCGCGGTGAATCTGCCCCGGGATAGGGTCCAACCCTTCACTCTCCACTGAGGAGAGGAAATGGGGCAGAGTCGTTGAACCTGCATGATTACTACAACACCATATTTAGGAGTCTGACGATATGGATTACACCAAGCGACGGGAGAATTATCGAGCCGTATTAGCTGGAGAAGTGTGCGTGCACCCTGGCTCAGTATTTGATCCCATTTCCGCACGAATCGCTGAGGATCTGGGTTTTGAAGTGGGTATGTTCGCCGGCTCCATCGCCAGCGGCACGGTGCTGGGAGCCCCCGACTATGTGGTGCTGACGCTGAGCGAATTTGCTGAGCAGATTTACCGAATTTGTCGGGCCGGCGAACTTAGCCTGATGGTCGACGCCGACCACGGCTACGGAAATGCGCTGAACGTACGCCGCACCGTTGAAGAACTGGAAGCCGCCGGAGTGGCGGCCCTTACTATCGAAGACACCTTGCTCCCCATGGCCTTCGGAGGCAGCGACGGCGACGGTAACCTCATTCCACTGGAAGAGGGCGTCGGCAAGATGAAGGCGGCATTGTCTGGACGTACCGACCCCAACCTCGTGGTCGCTGGACGTACGAGCAGCATTCGGGTTAGCGTCGATGAGTGCATACGGCGGGTGAAGGCGTACGAGGCCGTTGGCGTGGACGCAGTTTTCCTGGCCGGTGCGAGTACCAAGGCGGAGGTGGCGGCGGTGAACGCCGAGGTCAATATCCCGTTGCTGCTGGGCGGTGCCACCGGTGAATTGACCGACAAGGAGTGGCTCGGCGCTCATGGCGTACGGGTGGCATTGCAGGGGCATCTGCCTTTCCAGGCCGCGATCAAAGCAGTGTACGATACGCTCAAAGCGTTGCGTGACGGCGTTGCTCCGGGAGACTTGCGGGACCAGCTGGCTTCTCCGGATTTGATTGCCCAGGTTACGCGCAGGGCCGAATACGACCAGCAGATCGCCGATTACCTGCGTTAGCCGCGTAATGGCACCGAATAGGTACGACCACAGAATCACCAGTACGAACTAAATCAGGAGGCACTATCATGGGATTCGTTTGCAACCACCTGCACCTCCGGAGCGAAGATCCGGACAACGCTGCCAAGTTTTACGTGGACAACTTCGGCGCATCCATTGCCGAGACCCGTCCGTTGTCCACCACGGTATCACACCGGCTGGAGCTGAACGGTCAGCCCTTGCTGACGGTGTCGGGACGTGCGGATGGTGAAGACCCGGTTGCCGGCTCCACCGAGCCGCGTTATGGGCTGGACCACTTCGGTTTCGAGACCGATGACATCCAGGCAGCGTTCTCGCAGTTCAAGTCCACTGGCGCAAACATCATTTGCGATCCGTGGACGATGCCATCTGGCAGCCAGGTGATGTTTGTAGAGGCGCCGGACAAGGTTAGCCTGGAGATAATTCAGCGCCCATCGTAAACGGGATCCAAGCCCTGGACTATCCCCCTCTCTCAAGGGACGAGGGGGATTATTTATGGCGAAGACGTCTGGCCCTGGGGCACTTACGTTGCACCTACCCGGTACTGCTCGCCATGACGGATATTCCGCCGATGCCCCTTTCTACCCCGTTGGGAAAGGAAATCTTATAGACCGGCGAAGAAATCGGCGGGAACCGATTCGCCGGGTTCGACGGGGGGCCAGGCGCGAATGAAGTGCTCGATGCCGATGGCGGCGGCGGCCACGTCTCGCGGAACGTGCTCGTAAGGCCAGTCGGGTTGCAACTGGGTGAAGTGCCGCTTGATGCACGCCATCTTGGCGTCCAAACCGTCTGAGACATCCATAGTTACGTGGATGTCGTTTGGATCACAGCCGTCGTCGACGCGGTCAGGGGGCGGCATCGGGAAGTCCACTCCCGCGGCCCGCAGCGTTTCGGCCATGTGAACTCTGAATCCCTTCGGACGTCCGCTATAAAACAGCCGGTCGGTTTGGTGCGGTTGTATTCCGATTGCCATGTGATGCGGGAACGCCGACGTGTCGGCTGCCAGGCGGAATGCCTCGGTGGCGTGGTTACAGATGGCAATATGATCCGGATGGCCGTAGAGACCGCCGGGTTCGAAGGTCAGTATTACCTGGGGCCGGAACCGTCGGATTTCAAATACCAACCGGGCAACAACCTCGTGTTCGTCGGCCTGCATGAACGCTTTGGGATGGTGGTTGTCATCCCAGCCAGCCATGCCCGAATCCCGGTATCCGAGGACGGCGTGGGATTCGATACCCAGCTCGACTATGGCCTTTTCAAGCTCGGCGCGGCGTACTTCCCCGATGGTTTCGCGGGTGGCCGAGCCCGGCTGCCGTATCTCTCCCAACTCTCCGGAGGTGGCGGTGATCAGCCGGGTGGTTACGCCGCGGGCGGTGTGCATGGCGATGGCGCCTCCCATGGGAAACGCCTCGTCGTCGGGGTGGGCCAGCAGAGCAAGCATACGGTGTTCGGGCATCGTTACGGTTCCTTGCGCGATCAAGCTCAACTCATCCATTCCCCAAGCCGGGAGAGTGCAAGTTGAGTAAACGCATCGCTAAGTCTCAGCACTCGCTTGAACCACGGCGCCGGGAGCGGATGGCTGCGGTTTTGCCGCTCCCCAACCCTATCGGTAGGAAGGGAAGAGTCGGAGAGCGGCTTTGGGAGCTAGTTTATGATCTCGAGGACTTCAAGAATAATGCCCTGGGGTCCTTCGAAGAACATTACCCGGCGGCCTCCGCCAACGGAGGTTTCTTCGAGGACGGTTGCCCCGCCGTTTTTCAGGTCGGCGATGGTTGCGTCAATGTCATCGGTGTCGATGGCGATGTGCTCGAAGCCGTAGTTCTGCGGGTGAGTCTGGGTGGAGATGTGGTCTGTCACGTTGAGGGGCAGGCCGTGCAGGTCGAGACGGAAACCACCATTGGCGGTTTCGGCGGTAACCGTGGCTCCCAGATTGGCCACGTACCAATCGGCAGTGGATTTGGGATCGGGGGTCTTGAGGTGAACGTGATTGAGTGCGAAAGCCATGATGTGAACTCCTCTATAGGATGGTCGCTGTTTGCCGGGTTCCGTTGGTAAAGTTTTCACCCTCACCGGGGCCCTCTGTCTTCGAGGGTAAGGGGACCATGAACGCCACGCCGGTGCCCACGCCGATTGTAACATAACGCATCTGACCGCCCCAGTGGTGATATACTTGCGCCGCTGAATTGAACCGGAGGCAAGTGGGAGATGCTGGCATTTTTGGGAGGGACAGGTCCCGAGGGAAAGGGGTTGGCTCTACGGCTGGCGATGGCTGGAGAGTCGGTGATCATCGGTTCCCGGGACGCTGGTCGAGCGCAGGAAGCGGCCGACGAGTTGTTGTCCCTGGCTCCGGGAGCGAACATCGCGGGAGCGGTGAATTCCGGAGCGGCTTCGCAGTGCGACGTGGTGTTTTTGACTATGCCGTACAACGGAATGTCGCCCACGATCGCGGGCGTTGGCGATGCCCTGGACGGCAAGACTTTGGTAACCGTGATCGCCCCGATGCGCTTCGAGCGTGGTGTGGGAGCAATAGCTGAGGATGTTGATGCCGGTTCTGCCGCACAGGAAGCGCAGATTGCCGCCCCCAACTCGCGGGTGGTGGCCGCCTTCCAGAACGTGTCGGCCGAAGAGTTGCTGAAACCGGGTGTTACGCTGGATGAGGACGTGGTGATTTGTGGCGACGACGCCGCGGCGAAATCCACGGTTGTTGGCCTGACGCGCAAGATTCCTAACCTTAGACCCGTGGACGCTGGCGCTCTCTACAATGCCCGATACGTGGAGCAGATCACCCCGCTTTTGGTAAATATTAACCGTATTCACCGGGTGCATTCCGGCGTGAGAATCACCGGAGTATAGCTCGGCAGCATTACTGGTTGCCTGGCAACTGAACCGAACCGAACTGGAGGAAAACACAATGCCGCGAGCAACTCTTGATTTGCAAAACTCCGCCGATCTGACTGCCATTGGCGGACAGTGGAAATGCGCCCACGGATTTGTGCCTGGCGAACCCAACGAGGGAATTGTCAGCGAAGCCGAAGGGTCGCCGTGCCGCTTGCCGGATTTTGACGATTCGGGCTGGGAAGTGTGCGACGACCTCGTCGCCTGGCGACGGCGCGGTGTGTCTTTCGTGTGGTACCGAATCACCGCAACGCTGCCGGAGACGGTGGGCGGACGCTCTCTCGATGGAGCGCGTTGCCTGTTTGAGTCGTGCATCGACGACTACGGCGAGATATGGATAAACGGCGAGTGTGACCGCGAACGCGCCACGGTTCAGGGCTTCAACGTACCGCAGCGGGTGGTGGTTACAGCCGAGCCGAAAGCTGGTGACGAAGTCACCATCGCAATCCTGGCCATGAACGGTCCGCTGGCCGCGCCAGGAGGGGCGGTTTTCGTGCGGTACGCCACGCTGGCTTTCGAGTGGCGGGAGTAGAACTAGCGACTTTAGCCGCGCCCCTCTCCAGCCACGGTCTCCCCGAAGTACAGGCGTTAATTCAGCCACTCATCATCGTCGCCTGAGGCTCCGTCGTCATCCTCGGCCTCTGGAGCTACGCGACTGGGGTCGTGTATGTAGCCATGCGATTCCAGTCGCGTGTGTATTTCGGCAGTGAAGTCAGCGACGGCGGTACTGGCCGGCAACGTGATCTCTATGGTCCCGCGATTGGTGACATCCACGCTGCCGGGGTCTTCCCGCGCGAGTTCGACGCTGACGGATTCACGGTGAATGCCGAAAGCGTCGGTTACGGTAAACACGACGCTCATGTCGCCCATCGTGATGATCTTGATCTCATCGTCTGCCATCCGGCGCCTCCAATGGTCGAGCCAGGGAGATTAATCTTGTGGTGGCCATTGGGTGCCACCCTCGGCGGGCCGTTCGGCAGGTGGCCGGGCCATGCCGTCTGCGACCAACTGCTGAAATTCGCTGAGGATAACGGCGCCCCACTCACCGGCTTTGTTGACGCGGTAAGCAGTACGTCGTCCTCGGGCCACCTGGCGTCCCTCTGCTTCATCGCTGACGGCGGCGGCGGCCTGGGCGACCATGTCGTCCATCGCGTCAATTGCCGGCACCAATGTCCGGGCAGTCTCGATAAAGCGGGCGATTTCGGACATGTTGCTGTCCATGACCACAAAAACGGGGACAGTGCCGGCGCGATGCTCCGGAAGAAAGCTGTTGGTCAGGTCCAACTCGTCGTCGCGGCTGAACACGCTGAGCCGGATGTTTTCGGACGCGTCGGCGAGGCGGAGGATGGCGGGTGTGGTGGACATTGCATCGCCGCACCAGTCTGACGTGAATACGGTGAGGTTGACGGGTTGGTCGAGGCCGTCGAAGTATTCAAGGACCGCCGCTGGGATCTCAGTGTTGTCGTGTATCTGTATGAACGGTTCTTTGTTGACCTTGATGTAGTCGATGTATTGGGTTGTAGTCATTCCCTGAGCGAATTTCTCGGCTGTGAGCTCCATTGATGCACCTCATGATCGCGGGCCGTCTGCTTTGCCGTTGCAGTCGGCGAATGCTAAAATCGCCGCTGGATACTGGATACTACCACCCGCCGGGTGTGCGGGTCGAGAGGTGCCCCCTGTTGACTAACGAACGTTCCGGAGTGTACCTGAAATACGCCCTGTTTTGCCGGGAAACTGTGGAGGGGAACGGCGATGAATTGAGCTGCAGCGAGATAATTGATCTGGTGGACATTGAGATGCCAGACGAACCGCCGACCGGCGACGGGCCTCGTGTGTTGGCGGAAGTGGACGTGCACCTGGTTTTTTGCATCGCCGGCGCTAGTCCCGGAGAGCATACGCTGGAGGTGAACATACGGGCGCCCGGAGCCAGTCTTTCCAGTCCGCCGCCGCAACAGACTGGGTGGGAAGACGGCATATTCTTTCAACGGTGGATCAAACCCTTTCGGATTCCGGTGACCCGATTGGGTCGGCATGTGGCCGCAATCGCTTTTGACGGGATGCCGCTGGGAGAGGCCAGCTTCCTGGTGCGCCTGAAGCCGTGATAAAACGTCCGGTGCCCTGAACCCGTACCGAAAAGCGAAGGGATCATATCCAGGCCGAAAATGTTCCGGTGTGAAACCGGCCAAGTAGCAGAATATGCAGTAGGGGCGAATAATTATTCGCCCCTACATGGATTACGGCTTTCTCCGGAATGACGGAATCCGGCGCCGTTATCCGCCGTTCCGCTCCCAGAGAGCTTCCAGGACGGCTCCCGGGTTCATGGGGAGGCATTCGAGGCGGGCCCCGGTGGCCCGGGCGATGGCGTTACCGATGGCTGCCATGGGGGGAACCAGGGAAACCTCTCCGACCCCCCGCACGCCAAGCGGATGCCCAGGGTTGGCCACCTCTACTATGACGGTGTCGATCATGGGCAAGTCCAGTGCGGTGGGCATCCGGTAGTCCAGGAACGATGAATTGAGCATCTGGCCATCATTGCTGAAGTAGTACTCCTCATTGGGCCCAGCCGATGCCCTGAACTGCTCCGCCCTGAATTTGACCCTCGACATAGCTGGGGTGGATTGCCTTACCGCAATCCTGGATCGCCGTGAAACGGAGTATATCCACCTTGCCGGTCTCAACGTCCACCTCGACATCTGCGACGTGATGACAAAGGGCGTGGCAAAGAAACGCCGCACTGGTGGCGCGGGGGCGGACTCGCGTACGACGCAGGAGGACGCGTACCCGTTGAGACGGCGGGCGAGTTGGTTGAAGGTTAGCCGCAGAGCGTCATCCGACCGGTGAGCCAGCGTCCCGTCTGCCTGGTACTCCACGTCTTCGATGGGTACGTCCCAGATTCGGGCAGCGCGTTCGATCATCTGTCGGCGGACGTCCTCGCCGGCCTGATAGACGGCAGTGCCCATTTTGAAGGTAACTCCGCTACCGCCGGCGCCGCTGCTGTAGCCGATGCTGTCAGTGTCGACGATGGAAGGCTTGATGCTCTCCGCCGGCAACAGCGCAGACACTTCTGCGATATTTGTGCATGCCATGACGGCCTGAGGCCACACGCTGTCGGTAGGTCCTCAGTGCGCTGTGAGTGGTGCCATCGGGCATGACGCCGGCACTATGCTCGCTGGCTGGCCGGTTTCGCATTGAACCATGCACCGGCGGCGATCCCGCGCCCGGTGAGCCGGCCGGGTCCGGAGGGTTCAGGCACGAGGGAGGCCAGGTGGGGGTGATCCTGGGTGGCCTGGAGGATTTCTACCATTCCGATGCGCCGGAAAGTAGGGCCGGCAATCTGACGCTGCAGCTTTGGAGCGTTATTATTAGAGATCGGATTCCAGGGATCTGCTACCCGAGCCCTCTCGTCAGGTTTCATCGATGGCCTGCTCCGCAGCGAAAGAAGCAGGGGGTGAGCCGGGAGCCCGGTAAGCGGATGATTTTTGCACGTTGGTAACCACGTCGTAACCTTCCACGAATCCGTGGGGGATTTCGTAAGGCGCGAACATGGTGCGGCACCCGCTGGGCACGGGCGATCCGGGGAATGCGCCGGCTTCGTACACCAGCGAGGCCTGGGCGGCGACGAAACGACCGTCGCGGGTGCCACCAACCTTCACCTTGATGTGCGTGCCGGAAGTTGGGCCGGTTCCGGTGAAGACCTCGATTCGTGTCATGGCAATCTTGACCGGGCGACCAACCTTGCGAGCCAACGCAGCGACGACGGGCTCGAGGTAGCACCGCCCTGGCCCTTCCCACCGAAACCGCCACCGATCTCCATGGGGACAACGTTCATCTGCCCCACCGAGATTCCAAGGATGCGGCTGGTGTGGTCGCGCAGAGCGAAGTGACCCTGACTGCTGGCCCAGATGGTCACAGTGTCATCGGTGTTCCAACGGGCGGTTGCGGAGTGGGGTTCGATATAACCCTGGTGAACCGATTTGGTGTGGTACTCCCGCTCGACGATCCCGTCAGCCTCCGCGAAACCGGCCTCGATATCGCCCAGGCTGAACTGGAAGTGATTGGAGACGTTGGAACCGTCGCCCCCGTCGCTTTCGGCCCAGCCGCCGGATCGCTGGGCCGGATTGGCCAGCGTCACCAGCCGTTCATGTGGAACAGGGGAGCGCCCGGAGCCATGGCTTCGTCGGCGTTGAGTACCGCCGGCAGCACCTCCCAGTCCACGTCAATCAGCGCCAGGGCTTCTTCAGCTAGGTGGGGCGAGTCTGCGACGATGGCGGCCACGGCGTGTCCGAGATACAGGGCTTTCTCACGGGCCATCACATTGCGGGTGTAGAACCCGTAGTTGACGGGGGCCCCTTCTTCCTGATCGTTGATTTGGGCGGAAACATCCGGGAAGTCGGCGCCGGTTACTACGGCATGTACGCCGGGTAAGGCCAGAGCGCGGCTGGCATCGATCCCGTGGATTCGCGCGTGGGCGTAGGGGCTGCGCAGGATCTTGGCGTGGAGCATTCCGGGAAGGTGGATGTCGGCAGCATAGCGGGCGCGGCCCATCACCTTATCCGGGCCGTCGTGGCGCACTGGGCGAGTACCGACGACACGGTAGTTTTCTTCCGGGTCGGACAGGACGATATTGGGTTTGTAATCAAGCATATACGCGACCTCCTGAGTGACGATTGAAACGTGGGCGATGGCGGTAATTTACCACAAACCCGAGGTAACCGGGACGTACTTCCCAGACGGGTACCTTGAGCGCGGAAAGATAATCCGCATGCTGGCCCGCTCCAGTGGTAACAACAGGACCGGGCGGAACGCTGCCGATAGCGATGAGGAAGTTGCCCTCGCTCTGCCACCAAAGGATTGACCGACCGAAGCCCGGTGTTTAGAGTGGTTTCGAAAGACACCAGATGCAAGCCGACGTAAGGAGAATATGATGCCCCATTTCATGTACGTAGCAGTGCAGGAAGATGACAAGATTTCGGTTTTTTCCGTAGATTCCCAGACGGGGAAACTAACTCCCCGGGGCGATGTTGCCGTGGCCGGTGGGCCATTCACGCTGGCGATCAGTCCAGACCGGAAATATCTGTACGCCGGATGCCGGGAGATCCCGCAGCTGTTCAGTTATCAGATTGATCAGGCCAACGGAAGTTTGACGCAAAACGGATCGGTGTCGCTGGAGGCCAATCCCACGTATATCGCCACGGACCGAAAGGGCAAATTTGTGCTGTCGGCCTATTACCAGGGCGCACATGTTGGGGTACATCCCATCGGAGATGACGGATCGGTGGGCGGGGAGCCGATCGAATCGCTTGAGACAGCCACCGGAGCTCACGCCATGCAGACCGACCCCACCAATAGCTACGCCTTTGTGCCACACATCGCGGGCAACGGACCCAACGCAATCTATCAATTCAGGTTCGATGAAAACACGGGCCATATTACTCCCAACGCGCCGGCGGTGGTGGAAATCGAAGAGTTTTTGGGCCCGCGGCACTTTTGCTTCCATCCGTCGCTGGACGTTTTGTACTTTTCCAACGAACAGGGTTGCAGCGTTACTGGCTATCGCCTGGACACTGCCGCGGGAACGTTATCAGCATTTCAAACCGTTACCACAATCCCGGAAGATTTTACCGAGAGGAATACTTGCTCACAGATTCAGGTCGCGGCATCGGGCAAATTCCTGTACGCTCCCAACCGTGGCCATAACAGCATCGCCTGTTTCTCGATCGACACGTCCACTGGGGAGTTGACCGCAACGGGCAGGGTAGCTGCGGAGCCCATACCCAACGCGCTGTGCATCGGTCCCGATGACAAGTTCATCTACTCAGCCGGACAGGAGTCGGGAATCATGGCAACCTTCAACGTCAGCCCTGATTCAGGAGAATTGACCCCGCTAGAGACCTATCCGTTGGGGAACCGGCCGTGCTGGATTTCGATCACTGAGCTGCCTGGATAACGGGGATCGCACACCCCAGTATCATCGGTGGCGGCTGCTGTTTTTCCCTGGCTGGGCTACGGAATCACGGTCGGTAATATTCTCTTGGCATGTCGCTTGACATCACAGGTTTTGTAATCGAGGGTGATCCAGAGATCACCGAACATCTGTTGCATCCGCTGGGCGACCGCTGGTTGGACAGCATCGGCAGCGCCGCCACCACTATGTATTGCACCGCGCCGAGCTCCACGGGGGCGCTACCTTCCCCTACGCCATCTGCACTGTCCGCGCCATCGGACGGAAGGTGCATCGGCATGGCTAATCCCCATGCACCAGGTGGCGTCGGACAACGGTCGCCTGACGTTGCTACCGACCCCCGGAACCGGGGCTCTCTCTCGGTCGGAACTCGGGCCCGTGATGACGTCCTGCCGTATTTCCAGACAACCGGTAGCGCGGTGACGGTTTCTGGTCACGCCTGCCAGGTAAAGGCCCCCCGGAATGCCGGAGCCCAGCACCTCGCAATGAGGCCGGTTGCCGGATATAGCCGGGGTGTCTTGCTGCCTGAGCGACCGCCCCGCCGTTCGATTGTGTCAAACGGCATGAAAAATGCCCCATATCGGGGCATTTTGAGTAGGGGACCAGGGACGTGGTGCCGAGGGAGGGAATCGAACCCACACACCTCTAGGAGGTAGCGGATTTTAAGTCCGCCGCGTCTACCTTTTCGCCACCTCGGCACGGATAAAAAAAGCGCGCAACTCCTATACAATCAGGTGTGTTGCGCGTCGCGATAATCGTAACGATGGGCGCGGGACGGCATTTCAATATGATGCCTGGGTTTCATGGAACTATGAGGTACTCATTATAGAGATGGAGGCGACGGGCGGATTCGAACCGCCGAATAGAGGTTTTGCAGACCTCCGCCTTAGTCCACTTGGCTACGTCGCCTTGTATTTGCCAATCGTCTTCGGTTAGCTTCCAGATTGGTTCGTCCGGCCAATACCCAATGAATCATTTGGTGCCGAGGGCGGGACTTGAACCCACACGAGCGAAAGCCCACGGCCCCCTCAAGACCGCGTGTCTACCAATTCCACCACCTCGGCGATTGGGGAACTTTTGGAGTATATCACAACGGCAAAATCCAGTGTCAAAGGTGCATTCGACAATGAATCCAATGCGGATCGATGTGTGGGGTAAAGCCGAAATCGGTGCGTGGGAACGCCGAACACCCTGAAAAGAACAAGACCGGCGGGACGGCTGGGAAGCGCCCCACTCGGTCTGATCTAACCGTTTAGTTGACCTGGTGCTCCCGCTGCAACAATTCTTTGGCGGTGTCGCCAATATTGGCTTCGATGCAATCACGCAGAGCGGAGTAAAATGGATCGCTTAATGGCGTCCATCATCCAGGCTTCGTATTCGGGGGCAGACTGGTATTCGTTCTTCACCCCGATAAGTTGCCGCAAAGACTCCAGGTAGTGGGCTTGCAGCGGAGTCAGCGATTCCGGGTCGTACTCTTCCAGTTGAGGGCCGGCTTGCGGGTCCACCCCGACGGGGGCCGTACTCACTACCGGATTCTCGTTTTCCAAACCGCTGATATTGGCGTTGTCACTCTGTGGCGCGTTCATTGCATTACTCCCAAGGTCCGGCGGGACGTTGGCCCGAACCAGATTTGAGTTAGGGGGCATTATAGCACTTTTGCAGCCTGTTCACACCGTTGTAGGAGGATTTAACAAAGGATTTACGAACCGGCAACATTTTGCATTATTGTGACGGTGGAGTGGATATTGGTGGTGTGTTTCGTGATCAATTAGTTGAGAATGGTGCGAATTACTCCGCACTGATTAATACGATGCGGCGGCTTGGTCGGATTGCAGACCGGAAGGCGCGGTCCGATTCCCGCGCCATCTGATCTCCGTCGCTCCCGTGGCGGTGGTTTTAGACTTCTCGGAACTCACCTTCGACGGTGTCATCGGATCCGGGAGGAGCGTCGCCAGCGCCTCCGGCATCACCTGGACCGCCGGCTCCCGGCTGGGTGTATACGGCCTGGCCTACCCGTTGCAGGGCTTCGTTCAGTTCATTGATGGCGGTTTGCATTTGAGCTACGTTGTTTGCTGCGATGGCAGTGCGTAGCGATTCCAGCTTGGCATCTGCTTCGGCCTTGAGGTCGGCGGGCAGTGTTTCGGCGTGCTCAGTCAGGAGACGCTCGGCGGAATAGGCCAGGCTGTCGGCCTGGTTACGAGTTTCCACCCCCGCGCGACGTTCCCGGTCGGCTGCTTCATTGGCCTCGGCGTCCGACATCATGCGCTCGATGTCTTCCTGCGACAAACCGCTGCTGGTCTGGATAACGATACGCTGTTCTTTGCCGGTGCCCTTGTCCTGAGCCGATACGCTCAGTATGCCGTTGGAGTCGATGTCGAAAGTTACGTCGATCTGGGGCATTCCGCGAGGGGCCGGCAGGATTCCGTCCAGCATGAACCGGCCGATGGTTTTGTTGTCGTTGGACATCGGCCGTTCGCCCTGCAAAACGTGGATATCCACACTGGGTTGCGAGTCCGACGCGGTGGTGAACGTCTCGGTTTTCTTGGTTGGAATGGTGGTGTTGCGCGGGATCAGCGCGGTAGTTACGCCGCCCAGGGTTTCGATACCCAGGGTGAGTGGCGTTACATCCAGCAAAACGATGTCGCCAACCTCTCCAGCCAGGACTCCGGCCTGAATCGCGGCGCCCAGGGCCACGGCTTCGTCAGGGTTCACAGAGCGGGACGGCTCCCGTCCGAAGATCTGCTGAACCTTGGCCTGGACGGATGGCATTCGGCTCATGCCGCCAACGAGGATCACGTCATCAATGCTGCCGGCGCCGATGCCGGCGTCGCTGATCGCCTGGCGGCATGGGCCCTCGGTACGGTCAATAAGGTCGCCAACCAGCTGTTCCAAACGGGAGCGGCTGAGGCTTTTTACCAGGTGCTGGGGCCCGCTGGCGTCGGCGGTGATAAACGGCAGGTTTATCTCCGTTTCCAACGTACTGGATAGCTCGATCTTCGCCCTCTCGGCCGCATCGCGCAACCGTTGCAACGCCATGCGGTCCTGGGTCAGGTCGATGCCGGTTTCGCCGCGAAATTCGTTAACCAGCCAGTTCAGGATGGCATCGTCGAAATCGTCGCCTCCGAGGAAGGTGTCGCCATTGGTGGACAACACCTCGAAAACGCCGTCGCCCAGCTCCAGAATGGTAATGTCAAAGGTTCCACCGCCGAGGTCGAAAACCGCCACGGTGGAATCGGTTTGCTGTTTGTCAATGCCGTAAGCCAACGACGAGGCCGTGGGTTCGTTGATGATCCGCAAAACGTCCAGTCCGGCGATGGTGCCGGCGTCTTTGGTGGCCTGCCGCTGGGAGTCGTTGAAGTAGGCGGGTACGGTAATGACGGCTTGCGTGATCCGCTCTCCAAGCTTGGCTTCGGCGTCCTGCCTGATCTTCTGCAGAATCATGCTGGAGATTTGGGGAGGCGCGTACGACTGACCCGACATTTCCACGTGGGCGTCGCCGTTATCGCCACTGACCACCTGATACGGCAAGCGTTTGGCGGCGTCCTGGACGATCGGCTCGTCGTATCTGCGCCCCATCAGGCGTTTGACGGAGAAAATAGTGTTCTCCGGGTTGGTAACTGCCTGGCGCTTTGCGATTTGACCGACGTATCGCTCGCCGCTGCGGACGTTTACGGCTACTACCGATGGAGTGATGCGGTTACCTTCAGCGTTTTCGACTACGGTAGCCTCGCCAGCATCGATAACCGCTGCCACCGAGTTGGTGGTACCGAGGTCGATGCCCAGGATCTTTGCCATTGTTATATCTCCTCTGATTGTTTTTGATGTAGATTTTGAAGGGCTTAGTTGGGTGGCAGGTTGCCGTTAAGTGGGACGAACTGAATATCAGCCCCAAAGCGCCTATTGGTTTACGACGACCTGAGCAGCCTGAACAACGCGATTGCGGAGCCGGTAACCCTGTCTTAATACCTCGACGATACTACCCGATTCCGCGTCTCCCACCTGGGCGATGCCGACCGCCTCATGCAACTCAGGGTTGAAGGTTTCGCCGAGAGAATCAATGCGGGTTACACCCTCCGATTCCAGGAAGGCGGCCAATTTACGCTGAATCAATCGAACACCTTCGGCCCACGATTCGGCAACGGTACTGCCGTCCTTGTCATCCGCGTCAGGTTCGTATTGAAGGTGATTGATCGCCAGATCCAGCTCATCGACGATGGGCAGCAGATGAACCAGCAGGCGACTGTTGGCGTGTTCCTGAACAGTGCGTCTTTCCTCGTCGTTACGGCGGCGCAGATTCGCCAAGTCGGCCAGCCCACGTTGAACCGCGTCCAACTGGCGGGCAATCTCTTCGTTCGCCTCGGCCAGCGCAGCCCTAAGCATAGAAGCTTCCTGTTCGGGAGTCATGGGAGGGGATTCTATTCCGTCAATTGATGGGTCGGGATCAGGGTGGCCGTGAGCCGGCGCAGGTTTGGGTTGTCCCAACGAATCGCTGGCGGTGAACTCGGTAGAACCGGTCGGTATTTCGGGGTCTGATTGTGGATTGTACTGATCTGGAGGCATTAGATAATTCCTGATTAATTTTGCAATGGGACCGCTACGCGGTGGCGGTGGGCGTTCGGGGATTAGTCCGGAACGGGCAAGCCGAGGCTATTGCACAACAGGGCCACTTCGGAACGAATGCTGTCTGCCACCTCGGCGTCGTCAATCGACCGGGCAACCCGGTGGGAAAACACTTTAAGGTTGTTGACCAGCTTCAGGGCGAACTCGACGCCGGCCAGGTTAAGTCCCAGGTTGTCCATCAGGTGACGAATTAGCATGACTTTGCGGAGATCCTGACGGGAATAAAGGCGTAGCATCCCCACCGTGCGTTCGGGTTGGATCAACCCCAGTCTTTCGTATTTACGCAGAGTTTGGGGGTGCATTTCCAGTAAACGCGCTGCGACCGAAATGATATAGACGCCTTCAAGTTCCATGCCGGCCGGGCGGTTCGCGTTCGCCGTTTCAGTCGCGGGGTCCGGGAAAGCGTGTTCGCCGTCCACACCATTGGACGATGGAGGCGAACCGGTCACCCACACTTCGGGGGCATTTGATGTGGGAGTGGGATACGATTCCAAAAGCGTTTGACTGATTCGATGTGTTCGAGGCCATTGCCGTTGCATAACTCCAGACCTCCCGGTTGGCAACGAGGTGGCGAAACGGGTTTGCCCATGGTGGGCGAAACCTCTGGATCGCCACGTGAATTTTATCACACGATGATGTGTTGAATAATAGGGCTTGACACGGTATGTGTCAAGTTGTATTATCCGCATTGAAAAGAATTTGACACCGATTGGCTCACTCAGACAGGTTTGGCGAATTGCAATCCAATCTTCGGCGACGCGCGTATACCAAATCAGTTAGCGGATTAAAAACACTTGCTAACTGGTTCGGAAATAACGGATCCGTTTAGGAGGCAATCATGAAACTGATGTTCAACGCCTGCCCGAAGTGCTCCGGAGACATGGAATTACGGCGAGATATTTACGGAATCTTCGTCAGCTGCTTCCAGTGTGGCCTGCAACGGGATCTTGACGCCCCAATGCCCACCGTTCAAACGCCGCCCAAATCGGCCACCAAAACTGTGGCAGCCAGGGAACGCGAACTCTTAAAAGCAGCTTAGCAGTTCCATTCAGGAATCCGGTCAACGGAATGGGCCGCCGACCTCTAACGTCGGCGGCCTTGTATGTTTAACGGGAGGTTCTCTGCGATCAACGGGTGAGTTCGGGCCAGAATCGCTCTTCCTGCCAGGGATCGGCATTGTTGTTGTAACCCCGTTGTTCCCAGAATCCGGGCGCGTCTTCGGCCATCAATTCAATGCCGTTGATCCATTTAGCCGATTTCCATCCGTATCGGCTGGGAATGATCAATCGCAGCGGCCATCCGTTATCTTTGCCCAGCTCGGCGCCGTTTTGTCGGTGTGCCAGCAGGCCTTCAGAGAGAGCCAGATCCAGCGGGATATTGGTCGTGTAATCGCCATAGCAATGAGCCATGATGTGTTGCGCTGCCGGCAATACGCCGCACCGTTCCAATAGCGCCGAAATCATCACTCCTTCCCAGGTTTGGTCCAATGCGGACCACTGGGTCACGCAATGAAAATCGGCATCGACGGTAACCCAGGGCAAATCGAGGAATTGCGCCCAGTCCATGGTGATTTCCTGCCGCACCAAGCCCCAAACCCTGATTTCCCACGAGGACAAGTCGACCTGAGGCGTGTCACCGTAGGTTAGAACGGGGAATTTTTTGGCCACGAACTGGCCTGGCGGAACCCTTTCTCCGGCTGGCGGAGCCGTTTTTACCTGATCCGGGCGTTTCAACCCAAATTCGGGCTGAACACCGGTGTTTGATTGTTGTTGCTGAGGGGTGGTCATTCGGTCGCTCCCGGGTCGCTATTTATTAGCCGGCGGGTTACCGGTTGGCACGGATCGTTCCCGCCGGGCCTTCTATGATCCGGCCCACTACCGACGCACAATGCGCGCCACGGGCTTCGAGGGCGGCGATGAGTTGGGCAGCGCGTTCCGAAGCGACCGACATCAACAGTCCGCCCGACGTTTGCGCGTCGCAGAGTAACAACCGGTCCTCGTCGGTCAGCGCGTCGCCCCAGGTTACCGAGTCGTAAACGCTGCTCACGTTGCGATGTGTGCCACCCGGTGCGACGCCGTTAGCCAGGAGCTCCCTGACGCCAGGCAGAATCGGTACGTCGGAAAGATTGACCTCCGCCGCAACGCCGCTGCCGCGCACCATGCTCCGGAGGTGACCCAACAGACCGAAACCGGTAATATCGGTGGCCGAATTGACCCCCACTTCCATCATGGCCTCGGCGGCAGGTTTATTCAGGGCGGCCATTGTTTCAACGGCGACAGCCATAACGTCCGGGTCCACCACGCCCTGTTTGCCGGCGGTGGTGATGATCCCGGTTCCGATGGGTTTGCTCAACACCAGGACGTCACCGGGGCGTGCGCCAGCGTTGCTGACCTGTTTGCCGGGTTCCACGATGCCCACTACTGAGAGGCCGTACTTGGGTTCCGGATCGTCCACGGTATGCCCGCCCACAATCAGACATTCGGCTTCAGCGGCTTTGGCGTATCCGCCCTGCAAAATGTGGCCCAGTATTTCCTTGTCCAACTCCGCGGGGAACCCGACGATATTCAGAGCGATCAACGGCTTGCCGCCCATGGCGTAAACATCAGACAACGAGTTGGCCGCGGCGATGGCGCCATACTCGTATGGATCGTCGGTAATCGGCGGGAAGAAATCGACAGTAACAATGAGCGCCGTTTCGTCGTTGATGCGTAAACGGCGGCATCGTCTCCCGTCTCAGCGCCCACGAGCAGGTCGGGGTGCTTGAGCAGGGGAACGTAACTCAGGACCTGAACCAGGTCCTCAAGACTCAGCTTGGCCGCTCAACCTGCGCAATGAGACAGCTCGGTGAGACGGATAGGAGATTTGGCTTCAACCATTAATGCCTCGACGTTGGGGGAATGCTTATTTGGATGCAGGGATTAGCCCTACAACTGATACTCCGGGCGGCGCAGCAGCTGGCGCGCGATTACCAGGCGCATGATTTCGTTGGTGCCTTCGCCGATAATCATCAAAGGGGCGTCGCGGTAATAACGTTCTACCGGGAAGTCTTTGGTATAGCCGTAACCACCGTGGATGCGCATGGCTTCCATAGCGACTTCTCCGCAAACCTCGCTGGCGAACAGCTTGGCCATGCCGGATTCCAGGTCGATACGCTCTCCGCTATCTTTTTTGGCGGCGGCGTCATAAACCAACAGACGCGCAGCCTGAATCTTGGTGGCCATGTCGGCGATTTTGAGCTGAATAGCCTGGTGCTGGCTGATCGGTTGTCCAAAGGTTTCGCGCTGCTGGATATATCGCATCGAGGCGTCCAGGGCGGCCTGCGCTACGCCAACGGCCCGAGCTGCCACATTGATGCGTCCGGTTTCCAACCCGCTCATCACCTGGCCGAAACCAACATTTTCATCCCCGCCGATGAGGTTCTCGGCTGGAATGCGATAATCCTCGAAGAACAGTTCGCAGGTGTCCGGGCCGCGGTATCCCAACTTGTCCAGGTGCCTCCCGACTTTGAACCCGTCTTCGAAACTATGCTCTCCTTTTTCGATGACGAAAGCGGACAGACCACGGTGCTTGATGGAGGGGTCGGGGTTGGTGCGGGCCAACAGGCAGAAAGCATCCCCCGAATCGGCGTTGGTGATAAACATCTTGGAGCCGTTCACAACGTATTCTTCGCCATCCTTGACGGCGCGAGTTTCCAGGGCGCCGACGTCGCTGCCGCCGCTGGGCTCGGTCAAGGCCAGGCCGCCGCGAATTTCCCCGGTGGCGAGGCGGGGCAGAAAGTGGTCGCGTTGTTCCTGAGTGCCGTAATGGGTAAGGACGTAAGCGAGGATGTGGTGCGTTCCCAGCGTCCCGGTCAACGCCATGTAACCCTTGCTGATTTCCTCGAAAATCATGGCAAAGGTTGTATAGTCGAGGCCCATGCCGCCGTATTCTTCGGGAACCGTGATACCAAACAGACCCAGCCCTTTCATCTGGTCAATGAGGTCGTAAGGAATAGTATCCTCGGCGTCGTGCTTGGCGGCCACCGGCTCCACTTCGTTGCGCACGAAGTCGCGCACCATGCTGACTATCTGAGTGCGGGCTTCCTGTGGCGTAGGGGAGATTGTGGTCACGGCGGCGGCTCCTGTTCGTTCCGATAGATGTGGTACACGAGCTAGTCTATCCCAGCCATACGGACGGGTGCAACTTGAAGGTGGGGGCGGCCGTCATGTTCTGGCTCCGAGATAACTGCGCGGGATATACTATCGCGTAGTCGGCAGTTTCAAACCGGGGAAGTTAGGGGACGTTAAAGGTCAAAGATGGATACGCTTTCCACGCATTCGAATTACACCGGGTTAGCATTTGGTGTGCGGGTGGCCATCGACCCGTTCGCACGAGCCCGTCAGTTGCATTTGCAACTTCGCTATCACGCCGACCGATATTACAACGAGGACGCCCCCGTTATCGGCGATGGTCAGTACGATACGTTACTGCAGGAATTGCGCCGCCTGGAGGTTCAGTTTCCCGGTTGCCTCAACCCCGATTCGCCCACCCAACGCGTCGCCGGCGCGCCCGCTGACGGTTTCACTCAGGTGGAACATCCGATGCCCATGCTCAGCCTGGCCAACGCGTTCGCCAGGGAGGATGTGGAGGCCTGGCACCGCCGCGTCACCGACCTGCTTGACGGTCAATCGTTTCGGATGGTGGCGGAACTGAAAATCGACGGATTGGCGGTTCGACTAACCTACCGGGACGGACGCTTCCTGCTGGGTGCGACCCGCGGCAACGGTCAAACCGGGGAAGACGTTACCCACAACCTGCGTACCGTCAGGAGCATACCCCTGACCCTGTCGGGTCGGCCGCCAACTGATCTGGAGGTGCGCGGCGAGGTTTATCTCCCGTTGGACAGCTTCCGCAAGATGAACGAAGAACGCGAACGGTTGGGTGAGCCTCTGTACGCCAACCCACGCAACACCGGCGCGGGCACGATACGTCAACTGGACCCCAAGGTCACGGAAAGCCGAAACATGCAGATGTGGGTGTATAGCCTGAATGACACCGGCGTTGCTCCCATACCGGCCGGACATTGGGAATGCCTGCAAAACCTGAAATCGTACGGGTTCCGCATCAACCCCCTGAATCGGACTCTGGATACCGTGGACGAGGTTTGCGATTTCTACGACGAGATGCTGAGTCGGCGGCACGAGTGGAATTATGAAGCGGATGGCATAGTGGTGAAGGTTGACAGCATCGCCCAGCAAAACTCGCTGGGAGTGGCGGGCCGGGAACCGCGCTGGGCAATCGCCTACAAGTTCCCGGCAGAGCGGTCCACCACACGTCTGTTGAACATCATCATCAACGTGGGGCGCACGGGTAGCCTTAATCCCCAGGCGATTCTGGAGCCGGTGGTGGTGAGTGGCGCGACGGTGCAACACGCATCGCTACACAACGAAGAGGACATCCACCGCAAGGATATCCGCATCGGAGACACGGTGGTCATTGAGCGGGCCGGCGACGTGATCCCCCACGTGATCGGCCCGGTGGACATCCCGGGTAGGGAGAACCTGCCGGTTTTCAAAATGCCGGAACATTGCCCGGTGTGCGGGACACCCGTGGTGAAAGACGAAGGCGACGCCATGCACCGGTGTCCGAACTCGGCCTGCCCGGCGCAATTCTTCGAATCCCTGAAGCATTTTGTGTCCCGGGGGGCGATGGACATAGACGGGTTGGGAGAACAGTGGTGCCGCGTATTGATTGATCAGGGGCTCGTGTCCGACGTTTCGCACCTTTATCAACTGACGACGGAGCAATTGACGGCGTTGGACCGCATGGGAGAGCGCCTCTCGACACGCATCCTCAACAACATTGAAGCGAGCAAGCAGCGACCGTTGGCGCGCATCCTGTTCGCGTTGGGTATCCTGCACGTGGGCGCGGAAGTGGCAGACTTTCTGGCTGGACGTTACGCCAGCATCGATGACATAGCCGAAGCTGGCATGGACGAATTGACTGACATCGACGGCATAGGCCCGAAAATCGCCGAGAGCATCGTCAGGTATTTTGCGACTGAACGCAACCAGGCGACGATTGCAGGTCTGCGTTCGGCGGGCGTCAAGCTTCGGCAGTATCTGGCGCCGGTGGACACATCCGCGCTACCGTGGAAAGGGTTGACGTTCGTAATCACCGGCACACTGGTCAACATGACTCGCCGCGAGGCGGAAGGCAGGGTGAAATCCCTGGGTGCCGCTACCTCGTCTTCGGTCTCGCGACGGACCGACTGGCTGGTGGCCGGAGCATCTCCGGGCACCAAGTTGGCAACCGCCGAGCGCCTCGGGGTGCCAGTGCTGGACGAAGCCGGCCTGATGGCGCTGCTGCAGGACCCGGCCGCGACAAGCTCCGCCACCACCCAGGGCGAACCGGACGCGGACGTTGACCCGGAAGGGCAGGCGCCGCTCGGGCTCGGTGATTAGCCGGCAACTCGCTTGCTGGTGTGACGGGCCGGTTACCGTATCAATCCGTATACCCGGTCCGGTTGCACCACGACGATGACGGCGTCCTGAGCTACCATCGCCCGGTCATATTCTTCCCAATCCGGGTGTTCGTTATCGCCGCAAGCCATAAAGGCGTCGCGCAGTTTCTGCCGCATAACCTCCGAATCGGTGTTGTGGTAATCGGTGAGGGTCGCCGTGCCCTCCACCACCCCGAACTGGCGCCAATCGTCCGCTACGGCCATTACATTGCAGCGTGAGTTGCGTCGCAGGTTGCGCACCTTGTAGGAAGACCCCCGAACCGTTACGAAGAGGGCCGCTTCATCGCCATCGAAGGGAGAAGCGCCGCACACCACAATACTCGATTGGGCAGTTCCGTCCTGTCGAAATGTCGTAATCACACCCCGGTGATTGGATTGGAAGAAACTCTTAACGTCTGAAAATTCCAACTTTCGCCTCCATTTTGCTATAACGTAGGATGTCTGAAGATTGGCCGGTCAGTTCGCGTCGGCCACTTCGTATATGGTAACTGTATCCGATTGGAACGCCCGAATGAGCCAACCTTCGTCGACCCAATCCTCCATCCGACCGGTGACGCCATCGCCGTAGGTATTCCGTTCCCGGGGACCTACAATGACCCATCTAACATCATACCGGCTCAACAAATTTTGTACCCGCGCGGATTCGTCGATTTCGTAAATCGCGGCGACGTCGTCCCGCCTACCGGATAACGCAGGATCGTCGCCTCGCCATTGGCGCTGATGACCTTCCCAGCCTATTACGGCTGGCCGTGCTGTCGCGGCGGAAATCCTACCGTAATCAGTATAGTCGTCACCCACGGCCTCGACGATAATTCCCGCGCGTTGGCGATTGTTCAACCACATGATAGCGGCGTATTCGTCAGGCTCTGAATGGCGCAGAAAATCCAGCCCGGCCAGGGTATTCGACGACCAATCGTTCCCGTCCGTGGCCCAGCCAGTGCGTTCCAGGGTGGCGGCCACAGGATAGTAGGAGGACGCCAACAGTAGGAACGCCACCAGAATGATCCACGCCAATGCGAATGCACGCAACAGCGCGGTCCAATTTTGTGCCCATCCACGACGTGCCGGGGTTGCGATAATGTAGTAGGTGCCCACAGCGCCCGCCGTCCCCAGCAACAGCCACGCCTGGTAGTAAACCTTGAATACGGTGTTCATTCTATTGCCGAACTGGTCGGCGATGTGGAACAACTCTGCCCCCGCCAACAGGTAGAAACCTGCGGCGGCCAGGACCAGGGTGAATTCTATCCAGCGAGTTGGTCGCCGGCCCGCCGACAAGGCTAACGCGCAATATGCGGCGATGCCCCCAATTGCCAGCAACGGCAACGCCAGCGCCAATCGTTGCAAAACCACGCCGTCGGCCAGCTGAATATCCTCCGGGTTGACCGACAATCTGATGCCCACAGCCACCAGCCACAGCAATAATGGCGCGATGCTGAAGCCTGCCACCGCAATCGCCACGCTGCGTTGCTGGCGAGTGGGCCAACCCACTTCCATGAGAGCCCGAATGATCAGGCCGGCTGCCAGCAGCGCGGGGACCCCCATCACGACCAGAAAATGGAATGGCCGGGTAGCCGGACCAACCACTGGCAAAATCCCCTGGGCCTGGCTGTCAAATGACCAGTAGAACGGTTGGAACAGGACCACGCCGGCTGCGGCGATCCCCAGCGTCAGCAATCCGGCGCGGCCAGCCGACTTTGCCAACCGGTTTCCCGGCGGACTGCTGTCCGAGGCAGATGAGTCGTCGATTGGGGTAAACCAGGAGAACCATCGCAATAACGCGGCCATGCCAATGATTGCCAGATAAACGGGAAAGTCCCAGGCGTTCATGAAGGCCAGGGCTCCAACTGCCAGGCACACGGCTGCGGCTTCCCAGGGTTGGCGGCGTATCCAGTCCAATCCCGGCGGGTTGGGCGATACCATCATGGATAGTGCGAGGGTCAACACGAGGAGGAGGAACGGCAATACCGTAACGTGGGCGTGCAGATCGCCCAGCAGGAAGCTGAAGAAAGGGACTTCGGTGATGGTGTAATCCAGCGAAACGCCGGTTTCAGCCAAGGTATCGATGACTCTGCTGCCCCTCCACCACCCAGAATTGATCGGGAACCAACCTTCCTACGCCCGTGTGGGCGGTTATCCCTTGATTCCTGCCCAACCCCAAAATCCTTCTCCTCCGATCCCGCGCACGTGGGCAAACTCCAGCACGCCCGACAGGTTCCCCAAGCAGCAGGACACCCCCGGCGGCGATCAATCCGACGACCAGCGCCGTGGACACTCTGGAACCCCGAAGAATCGCAGCAGGTTGTTACACCATGCCCGCACTCCGTGGCCGCAGCGCTGCTAACGGTGGCGATCGACAGGTTTTATGCATATCCGTTGGCTACTCCGGTCAACGTGGTCAGCATGGCAGCGACATAGTGGCCGCCGTAATAATAGGCAATGCCATGGCCGTCGAGCCAGGAGTCCATGGCGGGAAACTGTCGGCGCTCTCACGATGGCGCTGAGGATCCCGAAATCCATGGGTTTTTTCGGTGTGATTGATGGACGGGGACTTCGCTGATGACCACGCCCAGAAGGCAACATGGCCAGAAGGTTAACTCGACGTCAGGACGACCGTCACCGGCGGCCGGAAGAAATCCCCGCATGCTCACTGCGCTGCGATGGCCCAACCCAGACGAACCAAGCACACAAACGGACAGCACCGCCAGAATGCCGACCGGTGAGTTGGGAACAATGCCGACGCTGCCGCCAGATCCAGTGTAACCGCATGCCAACAGCAACCGCCTCAGGATGCGCGCCACTATGCCCCAAGTAAAATAAGCCAAAGGTGGCGGTCGGCGATGCCTGCCCATTGAGAAGCAAGTGGCGACTGGAAAGCCGAGCCAGTGACATGCCTCGAGAGCTATCAGCAAGGCGACGAGTGTCCTGCAACGGTCAGTGGTAATCTGGGCGTCAGGGCGGCTGCGCCAACAGAAAGGTGCGTCCCACGAATCTACAGGGATGCAAACGGAGCCAGCGGTCTAAAAATATCGTATCTAATCCTTCAACCCTGGTGCCGATGAACAGTATGGGACTCCCAGTTTTCAGCGATGGATGGACAGCACTCGATACCGGACCTCGTGCGGTGGTGCCGTCGAGTTTGGTGCCGAGAAAATACCGGTGCAGCAACCAAACCGCTTCGGTATACCACGCCTGAAGCGTGTGTCAATAATCTCTCCGTTGTGCACGGTGGTAGCGTCCAGCGTGGCAAATACCTGATGGAAAGGGGGAAGAGGGGCGCGAGGCCCGCGAGTCTGTTGATACACACGCTCCGATTTAGCGAAGCTCCTCCATGAGTATTGCGCGTAGGAAGCGCCGGCCGTATCGACGATCATATGTCGGCTCCCCGGAGCACGGGCAGCTTGCCAGGCTTCATAGGCCAAACACGCTCCCGGTCCGGCGCCCGGTTATGGCTGATCACGTCCCACGCCCATCCACCTTGGCCCATATTTCCAATTGCTCTTCGGCGGACGTGCGCGTGAAGGTAATCGAAGGCGGTCTCCCAGGACAACAACGCCTGCCCGGCCTGGGTGAAATGGTTGAGCCAGCTCGCAATGCTGGTAGTTTTCTTCCCGACCCCCGTTTGTACGCCGTCTCACACGAGGATGACGTAAGTCGCGTTAGCGCGAGATTCGTCAATCAAGCATCCAGGGGCTCCGGGTTGGCCTGCTCCCTCTTCGTTCTCTAGCGGATAAAGAAGTTCCCTGAGCCGGCTGTAGGCTCCCTCGCCATCAACCACCTGCGAACCAGTAGCGTACTTCCGTAGAGCGAAGATCGTCCACACGTTCATGGTAGTGGGGAAACACCCCCCGTCGGGCGGAGATATCAGTATTATCTTTCTCGATCATCCATCCCACAAGGTGCGTCCAAAGTTACAAAGTTCAGCGGAGGCCCACGTAACTCTGCCTGATGCTGAGCCAAAACACCGGTTTCAGCTTCGTCTCGCTACGCATTAACACCCAGGCGTTCGTTTGCTGACGCACTTTGGGTGGTCTGGCGCGTTTCGCTTGAAAATGCGAGATACACATGGCTCAAAAAACAGATTATCACGGGGTAGCAGCGGGCGCAACCGTACAAGCGCCGGGGTAAGCATTGTATCATTGGTTTGAGGTTAGCGAACCGAAAACCGGCCAGAT